TCTGCATCCTGTGTGGTACTTTTCACCTGTGCTCTGCACTCCCTTTGTGTAGATGGAGACACAAGATGCTAGGCAGTGGAGAATTATGTCTCCTTGTTGTAGCTCTTCATTGCACATAGCTGGAGACACAAGATAGAAAATACCTCATCTTTATGACTACAATGTGCAAAAGCAAACAACAAAAATACAAAGTTTATGCTGCTCCTTGATGCATGTATATTTTTAACATATCTTGCAGTTAGTTCCCTTTTTTGTTTATCTTTTGTGGCTTTGCTCATGTGATATGTGGCAGCATAACGTAAGGAGCATGATGAACACAAACAAGAGGAGTGTTTCTTTAGCAATAACTATTTAGAAATTCCTGTCCCGTCATGTGAGTTTCTAATGCTTTGGAGAGCAGAGGGTTCACCAATTATAATTTATATATAGTTCTTTTTGCAACAGCTTTCTCTAAGGGCTTCACTCTCTAAAAAACAGTTCAGAAAAACTGTTAAAACTTCTAATTAGTATCACGGGCTTTAAGAAAATAAGGAAAAAGTCTTCAGTCAGGTCAGACCAAATTCTCTGGCAGAGAATTCACAGCCAGGAGCAAAGGCTTCTAGATGACCAAAGGTATCAGTATGAAAAGAAGTCCAGCTGTAACTGATAAAGTACCACTGGCTTCATATTGACTTCAGAGTGAGGAACAATGTGGATACGCATAGGTATGGTACTCCTGGTCACATGCCCTGACAGCTGCTGAAGAGGATGGTTCTTAGGACTACTGGAATGAATAGCAAGGTCCTGACCCTGCTCCTACTGAAATCAATAGTTTTGCCCAGTGTGAATAACTCGATACTCGAGGCATAGAAGCACAGCATGTAAGGCCAGAAGGGATCCCCACATCATTTAGTCTGGCCTCCTGTACATCAAAGGCCACCAACACCGGGGGGAGGGATAGCTCAATGGTTTGAGCATTGGCCTGCTAAACCCAGGGTTGTGAGTTCAATCCTTGAGGGGGCCACTTAGGGATCTGGGGCAAAAATCAGTACTTGGTCCTGCTAGTGAAGGCAGGGGGCTGGACTCGATGACCTTTCAAGGTCCTTTCCAGTTCTAGGAGATAGGATATCTCCATTAATTTAAAAAAACACCCCCGAGCACCCATTCTGATTCCCTGACCTAAACACTGAGGGGTCCTGTTAGTTAAATATCTATGTAGAGACAGCAGTCGCTCCCTCGTTAAGGTTGCAATCCAGGGAACGCGCTGAGCAGCTGTTCTTGTTATGCAAGGATGTGAGGTGAGCTGCAGAGACCAAAGGTTAGACTCCATTGTCGATGGCGAGGCCTTGGCTTGCAGAGGCAGAACTGAGTGGCAGGCTGCAGCCAACAGGAGGCTCGGGTTGCTGTGTTACAGAACGTGTGAAATAAGAAATAATTTAGGAATTAAACACAAGCTCTCCATGGCTTAATGGACAGAACAACTCAGGCTCCATTAGAAGGCTGAGCCATGGTGAGGAGTAGACACTATAGCTGTAGAGATGATGCTTCTTGCCACATGATTTCATCAGCAAGAAGATCCTTAATGCATAGCTGAGGCGCAAGACAAAAAGTTCTTTGGAGAACAGCTCATGCTTCTGGCTTCCTTCGGGCTCACGCCTGCAAGGAGTAGAACATCCTTCATTTTAAGGTGAGAGATTCAGCACTTGCAGGATCAGGCTGTAGCTTGAATCCTGATCACCTTATTGATGTGGCAGTCCCACTGACTCATACTGTGACATGCCCCTTCGCAGAGGACCAGCGCAAGCTCTAGGAACCCCTTAAATCTTTCTTAAGCCCGCAGCACGATTTACTGGTGTGTGGGCCCATGTGCTGGCCTTCTGCCCCGGCTGGATTTCACTCTAAGTGGGAATCTTCCGTCTAAACCAAACAGCTAGATAGCTCTGGGAACTGTGGTCCTGATCACCTCAGCGAGGTGTTGAAGATGCTTGGTGGATACTCGTGTGGGTGAGTAGTGCTTCTACTCACATGAAGAGAATACTAAGTGGACAGCTAACTAATTTTAAGCACATTTCTCATCACCACCATTTCCCAGCACCGTACTGTTTTTTTTTTTTACTTTCTCTTGTTTCTGTTAAAAAAAAAAATTGTCCAGTCATATAGAAATACTGATTTTAATTAAACTGTGATAAATGTTAAGGTAAACTCTGGGCATTGATCTTTTTTCTTTTCCATAAGAAAATGAGTAAAACTGTTTAGACAAGGCACAGTTTTGATTTTTCATACTTTGGTACTAGGCCGATTTTACAGAAAATGTGAATTATTGCAACACAACAAAAATACAAGCTTGTCGTGATTTTAAAAGATCACCCACAAAAGTTTTGACATTAAAATCCTTAGTCTAAAAAAATAGCACCAATGAGAGTAAAAGGCCTTTAAGAATCATTAAAATAGCATTCCTGAAATGCAGCTCTCTCCTGAAAACATTTGTATAAACACGTAATAAAAGGCAGATTTTACAGGGAAAAATATTTTGTAGAAGATTACAATTTTTCATGTAAATTTAATGCCAAGACAACTCTTATTCCTCTTTTCCTAATCTTTGTTTGCTTTCCAAATCTTCTGCATTGTATTTATTTATTTTTCTTTTGATGAGGAAGGGAAGGATATAAAAACTAGGGTAGAGAATTCAAAGATAAAGCTGAGTTGAGGTTGTGTGTTTAATCCAGTCTGAAAAAAGGTCAAAGGCTAAAATAAATGGAGGACTCACATGGGGATTTTGTCATCTTCTTGTCTCACTTGAATCTAAAGTCTCAGTTCTGCCAGGAGCTCCATGTAGGCAGACTCCTGCAAACATGCAAAACTCTGTTCTCCTCTGGGGTGTTCTGCGGTCCACCCACTTGGAGCTCAGGGACTATCAAATGCTTTCACATGACAGTAAACTAGGGCTGGGATGAGGAATTAGTGTTCTAATCCAGATCCAGAACAGGTTTAGGGTTCAGAGTTTAGCTTTTGGTTCAAGAGTTTCAGGCGAGGTAGGCATGCAAATGCATGTGGAATTCCTCCAACTCTGCACACAGAGGCACCCAATTAGCCAGCTGCGTGTGCATTACTGTGTGCAGACTTGTCAGTGGCATGCTCAGGTGAGAAGAGCATTTTGAACACCTACATCACGTGAAAATCTGGCCCCATGTGTCTCCTGAGTCACATCTATATAGTTTATGGGTGTGAGATGACGAAGGGAGATGATAGGCTGCTTCTTGTCCCTGAGTTGCTTAGAAAGATTGGAGGTAGCACACAGGAGAGCGCTGCTTGGTTTTTCTTCAGTGTTTTGGAAGTCAGTGCATTCTCAAGTGGATGTCACCTGGGAACAGCTAACTGACAGGGTTTCCAAGTGCAACTGGGTAGGACTGAGAGGAGAGCGCTACTCAGTCTCTCCTCTCCTCTGTGGGAAAACCCGTCTCCCATGGCTGTGACCTGCTTCCCCCTGCTGTCAGTTCCCAACTGACTCTCGACCTGGGCATCAAGAGGAGGCAGGCTGCAGCTGCGGTTAGAGGTGGGAAACAATCTGCAAAAACAGCTCGACACAGGGTAAGCTACACCATGAGAGGAGTGGGAAACATGAGGGTCTTCGTCCACTGGGGATGATGCCCTCTTCTAGGACGTGGGAAGGAAATGCACAGGGGTCTCCTGCTATCAAGGAGGGGCAGAAGGAACAGAGATAGGGACGCTCTCATTTCTCATGGATCCTTGTTAAAGTGGAGGCTGCCCTTTAGGAATGCTGCTGAGCACAATGCAGAAAGACTTCTGTTTGCCTAGCTTTTCACATAGCCTGCAAGATTGTCTGGGGGGCCAGGCCGCTGTTTACTTTGCCATAGGAGACAGAGGCGTCTCTTAATTTAGAAATGGAAGCCTTTCCAACGACTAGCCAGAGTCCTTTGGTCTGCCTCTTGCTTGAGCCTTTTCTTAGATGCAATGGCATTTGCTTTCAGTCAAATCAGATATAGCAACACTTCATGCAATTCAGCAAAGCACTTCTAGAAGCACGTGTGTTCTATTAAGCATGAGCATAAAAAGTGCTTCACTTCACTGGGGCCACTGTTTTGAGTGAAGAACAGAGCTAGGAGAGGACAGAGGAGCTGAAGTCCTGGATTGTTTCAAAGCATGGCAATATGCACATGAGGGTGCCACTTTTAGGGGAAGCTCTGTGGGGGAAAAGTCTGACTTCCCTATCAAAGACTCCTGTGTCATTAGTAGATCTGTCAGAGAGACTGTTCATCCTGGTATATGTACGATATGCATGAGAGCCCTACACACTAGCTTGCCCGACCCATGATTACTGTATTTGAGCGCTGAAATCTTTGGGTCCAGGCTTTATCCAATTCAGGATCCAGTAAGCGCTAGTCAGTCTTGGGAGTTTCTTTCAACATTGCAAATGTTTGTTTTTTCCAGTAAAGGCAGGAAGTAAGGTGAGGCCCTCAGCAAGGCGCTGGGGCAGCAGGTCTGCCCTAGCCACCATCGCGATGGCCAGACCTGACTGGGACATCCCTTTCTCAGAGCAGGGCAGTGGATTAGACAGGAAGGGTCCAGTGGCACTAGATCCATATTTGGTTGTTCAGCCTGAAGCCAGATTTTCAACCCGGGTCAAACCCAACTCAGCAAAGGGCATCATCCACTTCACAATGGGTAGGTGATTGCACCTGCCAAGGCCGGGGCCATGCACACAACTGGTGCCTGTGGGCGGGCAAAGATCAGAGTAAAAATATGTCCCTCTATGCTTCTTAACAGACATTAGCTGTATGTGCAGGGATGGCAGATGAGATAAGAACAGTGGGAATCTGTCTGATTCACCTTATAATAAAAACAGACTCTCCCGGGGGAGGGTGGGGGGTGTTGAGAGTTTACTCCATGGCAGGAGGGTTCCCTTTTCCGTTAACACGGGCCTGCTCCAGCCCCACTGTAGTCAGTAGCGAAAGCACCACTGACTAACCCGGGAGAAGAATCAGGCCAAAGCCCAGGGTGAAATCTTGGCTGCACTGACGTCAATGGGAGTCTTGCCATGGACTTCAACGGGGCCAGGATTTCACCCCTGGTGACTTAGTGGGATCAGGATTGGACAACACCGTGTTGGCAACACTGTTCAGGTTTATAAAACTGTTAATAAAAATAAAGTTTTGAGGTTTTTAAAAAAAACAGCATTGAACATGAGTGCTGCCCCTTCCTGCCCATTTCAGCACATTTGTTTGCAAAACGTTAAGAGAACATTTTCCTTTTTGATTTGGAGCCCAGACTCTCCAGAAACTGACGAATGTTTTACCTTTCTAGCTGTTCAGCTGTTCTTAATGTAAAAATTAAAAGAATGTTTTAAAAAGGAAGGAGTGAATATTGGTAAAACTACAACCAGACACAAACAACAACATTTCTTTAGCTCTAACTAGAACAGTAATTCTATCACCTCACAGTTCAGTTTCAGCTACATTCAGGTCTAGGAATTTCCACATTCTCATGTAATGCCTTAAAGCAGCAACAAAAGTTTAAAAACAAAATTAAACTTTAACAAATAAAAAAAAATGTAAAAAGCTATTTGGTTCTTGTATCCCGCTTGTTTGTTCAGTGTATGTAACCTGACAGGATTCTTTATACCTGTGGCTACAGTTCTGATTTCTTAGCAACTGTTTTGAGAGGCTGGTTTTTTTCCCCACAAAAGCCTTGTTTCTACCTATTTCAAGTATGGTTGCAGCCCGCCAGCCAGCGGCTTTCACCACCCAGCCTCTGAATCGCTACTTTTCAATTGTACAGTAAAATGGAATGGTTAATGCTCTGTGTGAGACATAGCGGTCTCATCCACCATACCTACGCTCTCCTGGGTGGGGTAAGCTAGCTTCTGTGTTCGGTATTTTCTAAAGAGCGTTGTCTTCTGTCCCTTTGAAAAAGTCACCCTAACAGGTTCTTTGGTTAAAGAAAGTTTCCTACGCTCTCCCTGCAGGGCCACACTTCCTTCCCAAAGCGTGTGGCTCGGGGGACCATTTCCTACCAAGTAATGGAGCTTGTGGGCCGTTCTCTTCCTTCCCTCTCCCACACAGGCAGTTGAGCTAGTGCATCTTTACCAGAAGAGACAAGGGAATCCCTGCTATTCACAGGCAAAATAATCCTTGAGCGGGGCGAAGAGGTGCCGAATGACCGGGACACTCCACGATCTCCCGAGTAGCTTCTGACGAGCTCCACGCCCCATGTTGGACACGTCCGTGTAGTGAAGGGGGAAGCCAAAAATCCTGCAGAGGGAAGGAAGAGAAGAGGAGCTTTTAGAACAGCAGTTACACTTCGATGACATCTTGTCCTTGTAGTCACAGGGTTACTCCTGAGGGCCAGAACCCTGACCCTGTGCATTGCCCAAGGCACTGGGCTTTATGCATGGGTTCTCTGGGCGTTCCAGGGGAGGGATCCCCTCACCCACAGACAGTGAGCAACTGTACAGCTCCTGCACTGAAGGAGTTTTGGCCTGTGGCTCTCTGCAGTAGCAAAGCCAATGTCTCACCTATGCCCACTTCTGTGTTGTCATGGAGACAGCGCCCTCCACCTGAATGACACACAGTTGGTATGGAGTGCCCTTGCATAGCCTCAAGGCATTATTTCTACACGGATGTCTCTTGCACTGGTCACTGTTTTGTCTCACTAAGGGGCACATTTCCACAGGGATGAGATCCAGACCCTGACTCTGTGGGCACAGTGTCTGCCCAGTCTTTGCACTGGAAGTATAGGTGAGAGTCCTCAAGCCTCTCTCTGATTTGTGCCCACAGTTCCATCATAGGTACATGTTACACTCACATTAAAGAAGACCCCCACCCCCTTTTACAAATCTGCTCCCAAAACCCTGACCCTTCTCTCACTGAAGCTGAGTGTTCCATATATGCTACATATTTTTTCTTTCCTGTAGAGATCTGTATCCTGAAAAATCACTTCTGCCCCCAGCTGTAAAAGCTTGTCTAGTCACATTGTTCTGGTATGGCTTTTATGTTTCCACATGGCTCTCACACGCTTCCATACTCATGGTTTTCACAAACCTAACTCAGGTTTAAGGGGTTTTTCAGCTTACACTCAGATGCTGAAATCTAGTGATCCACACTACTGTTAGAATACTTTTCCCTCCATGAATCTATGATCTTGGTTCGCTTGTATTACTGAAACGCAGAGATAATCTCTCTTCTCTGAAACCAGCACTGGGCTCTTGTCATACTGAAAAGCCCTGATGTGCCGTCAGTCAGGTGACATGCAGTGACTGTCGCACTTGACTGAAGCGCAGTAATGTATTTATCTTAATGGCGGTCTCTAGTATTATTATTATTACTGCTGTCCACTGAAACACAAGGCAAGTGAATATATCCAATCACTTGCCTGAAGAGCTCAAACAGATGTGTCAGGTACTGGAGAATCACTGCACAACATGAAAACCAGTTTCCACAAGAACTGAACTTTGGAATCCCCCTAAACTGAAGAAGAAGTGCATTCCGCCAACACATGCATGAACTAATTCCACTGGGAGCACCCCCACAGCAGAGCCCAGCTGTCCCGGCTGACAGAGACACCCTGGATGGTCTGATTAACAAATTACCCTTTCCTGGGTGCCAGCTTTATTTAAAACATAACCAGGGGGAAATAAAAGAACCAGATGACACACCCAAGACCTCTCTGTTCAGGGATCAGGGCCAGGGGCTCTTTCAGTCATTAAACTGTAGGCTTCCTTTTGCTGTTGCCTGCTGCAGAGTCCACAAACCATTGAGAAGTCCCCCTTGTTGGGCCATCGCCCTTAGTGACAAGCCAGAGAGCCTGCAGTGTAAACTCCTGGGCCCCTTCCAAGGAGGGTCAGCAGATTCTGCTTCTTGCTAAGGAACTGCCAGGTTAGAAAAGGCCACCTCCCATGCACACTTCACACCTCCCTCCAGTGTATGCTGGAGAAGTGTTTCCTTTCCAGGAACCAATTCAAGCCAGGGGGCTTCTGGACCATGGCCTCGCCCTCTTGGAGTCTCACCCTGAAGAGCCAGTGAACTCCATCACAGACTCCCATGGGAAGAGCTGGCAGATGCACGCAGCGCCTCCCACAGGCCTTTAAGGGGACCCTGCTAGTGTGCACTAAAAGTTCCATAGTCTGCTTTGATCTGAACAGCAGTAGGTCAATGCGCTCCACGGTACTTTTTGCTCGCAGTAACAAGAGCCACATGGCCAGTCAGTTCACGGCAGGCTGCAGTGCTGTGGATTTACACCCCAGCCTGCCATGCACTGACTCTCCCTATAGACATGCCCTGAGCGTGTGGTTCTACCTAATCCCCACCTTTTTTTCCCCCCTCTCCCATCCCTCCACCTCTCTCTGAGCCACCCCTTGGTAGTGACGCTCACCTTTCTAACTCAGTGCACCACAAATTGTCTTCTTTCCCATTCATGAGCACTGGGAGCTGCATGCTTTTCCCCTGCCTGAGGGAGTTGGATTTAGTCGTTATGGTTTGCACTTTTCTCAACTGAAGAACAAAACAACAAGAGTTGATGTGAACTTCTGGGTTTAGTATTCGGGATCAAATGGATGTTCTGTGGGCTATCCTGCAAAGATCTCGTACTGAGAACAGGGCTGATCTAGGCAGGGAATGATAAAAGGAAGGAGCAGGGATTTTGCATGCCAGCATTTTTAGTATTTACACCAATATGCATCAGATGCCAGCAACGGATTCTGCAACCACCGGCACGTCAGCTCTTAAGAGAGTGGTTGCACTCGCAGAAGAGGGTATTTGTAAAAAAAAGTATATGGAAACGGATGGAGCTACTTTACCTGGGCACTGAAATCCATAGCTCCCAAGAATTAAAAATATCTATACAGAGATCCAGAGGGAGAGCAGCAATTTGTGTCTCCTGTAGGAACAGCGTTGGCATGTTGGGAACAAGGAAAAGTAGCAGGCCAGGGTGTGTGCCCATTAACCAGGACTGTGCCACATGGCGTTAAGTCCCCACAGTTACAGCCAAACACTCAGCTTTGGGCCTCATTTGTGTGTGGACGATACCTCAACAGAAAGCCCCTATGAACAAGACAGAAGCCCAGCATCATCTGTCTCACCAGATCCACAAAGCAGAACAGAGGGAAAAATAAGGGAGGTGTGGGGGAGGGAGGGAGAGAGAGGTTGGAACCACAGAGAAATCCCTCATTAGGGTTGAAATGAGAGAGAATATCCTCAAGTCCAGGAGAAAGCAGAGAATCCTCGAGAGTAAATCAACTAGAGCATCCACCAGCCAGGACATCCCTTATTATAGCATGCAGTATTCCACGAGGGAGCCCCAGGAGGTGACGGAGCCCCGAGTAAGTGGTATTCATGGCAAGCTGAGAAATACCAGACTGCCCCAAGGAAGGAAAGGGAAAGGGTTGAACAGCAAGTCTTACCTTTGCTATCCTACTGTACTCCAGGCAGTCCTGAAGCTCAACTCTATCAGTCCTGGAAGCTACCAGAGGCCTGAGAACAGGCAAAGCTCATTACACTCTAAACTCTACAATTAAGTCTGTTCTCTAGTCCTCCACCAAGCTTATCTTTTGTGCAAAATTCATCGCTTCCTCTGCTGTAGCAGGGAGTGCGGCATCATTTAAAGAAAAAGTGAAAATCAAATGTAATCCCAGACTGCAAGTCAAGTGGGTGAAAATAAAGCCTCACCATTATCATTTCATACATGTGAACAGCCTTTGTGAAAGCCCCACACAGCCCTGCTCAGCATAAGCAAGCTTTATGCACAAGAGGCAACAGAATCCAGAAACCTCCCAAAAGAGAGAAGAACTGAGAGAGGTCATGGGGGAAACATGACATTAACGGCTGGCCGGGGCTTCTGGTTTTGTTCTTTAATTATAGTTGTAAGAAGTGGAAAAATATTTATGACTTTGAAAAAATCCAAGAAAAAAAACCCACTGGCCTACTGGGTTTTTTGTGTTTTTGTAAAGACAGTGCGACTGTTGGAGATCTGTGTGTGAAGGGGAATAACCTGCACAACAAATCTGGCAACTGATTACTCGGATTTGTGCACGTCCTTTCTGTGCCACACCTAGCAACTGTGTCCCTGGCCTCTTATATCATTTCATTTCCCACCTTAAAATGGCAGGCACAGATGCGGAGGGAGGTTGTGAGACTCCTTTTTTCTACACTGTCAGTGAGGGACGGAAACCAAACCTCCGCCAGCTTGAGAAATACAAACAGAAAAATGAGTGTTCCAGTGGTAGAGCCCACTGATGCGCAAACGTAGATTCACGTTTCTTGACTACTTAAGAGGCTTTAATGAACATGCCTATTTATTAGATGATGCAAGAGCATATAATCTACTTACAAATATCCCACACAGTACGGAGCTCTGGGCCCAGATATCAAGTCAATTTGAACCACCGTGTTCTTTAAAGTGAAGGTAACAACTGAGTGCTTCTTCCAAGAGAACAAATAAGCTGTTTCCTTCAAATGTAGGACCACTTAGGAACCCAGCCCAAAGGCGGCTTTCACTGCTCCTGTCCGTTGGGACTGTAGAATCTCCCACTACACACAGTGAATCCTTGGGATGTACCAGGTCTTGTGTTGCCCATTCCCCCATCCCGTTGCGCTGCTCTATCCCTTTCCGAAGTGCTGTAGCATCCTTATCCGTAAAGCAGAATGGAGCTACAGCTTGCAGAATTGAGCTGTTACCCCTCTCCTCCTTGCAGTGTGCTGCCAGCTGTCTGAATACGCAGATCCTAGCTCGTCTGTGGATCTCTCTCATACCAAGCTTTCCAGAGAAGACCAGTGCCTCTCTCCCTCTCCAGCTCCAGACCATACCTGCCTCTTCAACCACATTATAATGACATTGCACATACCCTTGTTCAACTTCATTGGCTGGGGTCAGCCATATTACAAAACCAACCACACCCCTTTACAGGCTGGTAGTGCTGTCTCTTTGCAGAGTTCACTTCTTTCAGGCAATGTACAATAGTTATGCAATTTACAGTGGCTGCCCCTATCCCTCAGACACATCATGATGTGATCAAAAATGATTAAAGGGTCAGGGAATGATCCATAACAATAAAATTATGGTGCGTCATTGACAGTCTCTCTCTCTCAATAGCCTGAAGGAAACATTGTAAGAAATTATAGCCGAAGTGATGAGAGAGACAAGGTGAGGCAGGTAAGATCTTTATCTTTTATTGAACCAACTTCTGTTGAGGAGAGAGACAAGCTTTTGAGAAGCTGGTCCAATGAAAGATATTACATCACCCACCTTGTTTCTCTAATACCCTGGGTCTGACACAGCTACAACTACACAGCAACGACTGTAGGTTTTATCCCGTTACAACTGTCCTGGATACCTGACCATTTTAAATGAATAGAAGCAGGTCAAGTAGCAATAGCAGTTATTACAGTCAGCCTCACTTAATTAGCTATTGTTCATAGGCACATGCTCTAAATTGGGACAGGCGGCTGGTAACTCATTTTCTGCAATGCCCTCAATAGGTTTTCATGGGTAACATTTTCAAGTGTGCCTAAGTTCCATTTTCAAAAGACCCTTAGGACCCCTCGTCTCATTAAAAGTCAATGGGACTTGACTCCTAAGTGCCCATCGATTTTGAAAATGGGACTTAGTCACTTTTGAAAATTTGACCCCAAACCCACTTTAGTGGGACACCACTGAGACCTCATGCTTTAATCTCTATGCTCACTCAGTTACAAACAAATTAAAATGCAACTACGATTTTCAAAATGCAGGTATAATAGAAGCCATGCAGCTTCTCTTTCACTTTTCAAATGCCTACTTCCATCAGGTGCAGCTTTAACTATTTATAATTCCTAAACATATCTGCAATTAAAGCGCAATCAAGCATATAAAGTTCAGAAATCCTTGAGGGATTCCATTGGTTTCTTTGTGTCTGTATTTACTTACTGAGAATTTTGATGTGTGAAAATTCCATCTGCCATTGCTAGGAATCTCTGGTTAACAAGGTCACTATTAGCATCCTTTTATTTAATTGCAATGTCATTTTATTATAACTTTTTCCTGTGAATTTGGTGGTGGTGAAAGGAGCTGGACAGAAGGCTCGGGGAGAGTGGAGCTTCTGTTCATCCTCAGAAAGCTACAGGATAGACTGCAACCATGCCAGCTTTCCCCCACGTTGCCCTGCAAATGGGCCTCACTACTGCCCTGGATGGACCATCTCCAGGACGGAGAGATTAGTTTGATCTCTATGGCCCATCCAAACGCTTGTTCCCTTAGGCTGAGGCTGTCAGCATGGGGAAGGGCAGTCAGTGCCACTCACAGAGGTAGGTTTTGGTCCACAGAGAACTGGACTGTCAGTGTCCTTCTAAAAAGGCAATTGTGCATGTGCGATTGCAAACACTGAACTGGTGTCTGTAGAGGCAAGAGAATCTCCAGCTCATGGAAACAGGGGAGTGTTTTGCTTAAGAGAACTGGGTACGTTTATCACAAGGTCTGTTAAACGTCTCAAACCCAGAGTGCGGACCATGCATGGATCCCAGTCTCACAGCACTGTGCAAGGGAAACCAAGTGCCCTGTGTGGTGGCAGAGGGGAATTCAGATTACTCACTGTCCCGTCAGCAGTCCAAGAGTTTGCTGCAGCAACCCATTAGGATGGAGGATAATGAGTTTGAAATTCCTACCACAGCTCCAGCAAACTGCATGAAGGGCCTGAGCCAGTGCACCCTGCTATCCAGGGAGGGGTCCCATTGACTTCAACGGGCTTTGGATCAGGCCCAAACTCTACAATTTTTCCAGATTCACATAATTACTAACAGTAAGTGCAATGCAGAAACAGAACCATTGTTGGGAAGATAACTGAGCTCCGCAAAGGGCTGTGGGGTCGCAGGCTAGTGAGTTTCATTGGCTCCCAGGAGCTGCATGTGGTGCCGAGGAGGAAAGAACCAGGAGAGTGTCACAAATAGAAGAGTTACCTGTTCATCCCAGGCAGATTGCCCCAGAAATAGCGCGCTCTGTGTGCAGCTGATACCTTGATGGCGTCGATCATAACTGGGTTGCACTGCATTCCGAGATAGAAAAAGGGAAAAGATTAAAGAGAAGCACCTGTGGCCAGCATAAACCGTACCATCCAGCACTAACTGCAGCCACCTCCAGCCGCGTTCCAAATCAACTCACTGCATGGAGATGGCTGGCGAACTGCCCTGCTCCTCACGTAACCAACGAACAAGACCTTAAAAGGCTTATTCTCATGCATCCGACGAAGTGGGCATTCACCCACGAAAGCTTATGCTCCAATACATCTGTTAGTCTTAAAGGTGCCACAGGACTCTCTGTTCCTTTCTCTAGGACCTTAAATTTCAAAGTGCTGCTGCTGCATCCTCCAGCACCCTGAAGTCCTATGCGCCAGTGGCAGGGCTGGAGCAGCATCCTCCAGCTCCCTGAAGCCAATGCCCAGCATGGGAAGTGCGTTCTCCACTACGTGCAATTTTAAAAACTCAGTAGATCCTCTCAGAGGGAGCCAGCATAAATGTCTTTTTGTTCTGCGTGCGCACAGTGCCCAGTGCAATGGGGTCCTGATCCAGAACTAGGAATCCTAGGCACCAATGCAATACAAATGAATAATAATGATACATGTTGATCAAATTCCAGTGTCTCACTGTTCATTACTTTGGGTCAGGGACAGAATTATCCTCCTAGGTAGAGACTCTTACAACACGCAATAGACAGGCTGCAAATGATGCCACAGAAGTTGCAGCCTCATCTGTAGCACCGTCTTTGTTATTGTGAGAGTGAATGCTTTGCACTTCCCTAAAACCTTCCAGCTGGAAATATCAAAGCACTTTACACTAATGAACAGACGCTCAAAATCCTCCTGCCAGGCTGCTAAGAACTATTAATCCCATTTTACAGATGGGAAAATTGAGGCACAGAGAGGGGAAGCCATTTGCCCAAGGTCAGAGAGGAAATCTGAAGCAGAGCCAGGAACAGAACATATATCTACCAATTCCCAGCTCTGTGAATTGTCCTCTGGAACATCCTTCCTCCCCAGTTGTTTTGTTTGAGCTTTTTAACCTGGGGTCCCTATACAACCACCGCCCATACATATTCTCACAGCCCAGCTTCATCCTCAGGCTGATTTATAGGATATATTATATGATAAAGCACATGAAGGATGCAAGAGCCTGCCCATTCTAGGCCCTTGTATGCAAAGCAGGAATGCGGGGAATGGCTCCCAGTGACTCCTACCTCCAAAAATCGAGAAATGTCCCTTTTATCATTGACTCTCATGGCCACAACATTCTCAAACATCCAGAAGAAGGGGCGTTCCTCCCCCGCCTTGGGACGTGCGTAATTGAGGAGATGATAGAACTCGAAGAACAGCCTTCCAGTGCCCTCTGCAATAGGGAATGTATAAGATTGTGAGGGCTTATCGCAGCCCGAAGAGAAGAGAGAGACTCCCGTCTCCCGGAACAGCGACGGCAAAGGCAGGAACAACAAGAGCTCCCTTCACACAGCGCTGCGAATGCGCCTCCACCCTGCACTAGCCCTTCCAGAGGTTAGACAAGCTCAGTCTCCACGGTCCATTCAGTCCTGGACCTCCCTAAAGCAGGTGCCACTTGGGGAACATATTAATGCCATTTATGGTGGTGGTAGTTTTAGACTCCTGTCCACCAGGAACTGGAATGAGACACCAAGTCATTTCCCAGAAACCACCAAACAGTCACCAGACCAGATGGTAGGATCTTGTGGCCAGCACCAAACCCGGCTGGATATGAACCAGGGGGTTAGAGGTGAAATGTTCCATTCCCCATTAGCCACCACACCCCTCCAGAAACAAACAAACAGTCTTACCATACAGACCCTTTCTGGCAGGATTCACAATAGAGAGATCGTTACAGGGGCTTCCACCAATCACCAAGTCGAAAGGACCCCACTCCTCAATCTAGGACAGACAATCGGATTCAGTGTCAGTGAACACCAGGTAACAGTCGTCTCCCATTAAAGTACATGCCACTGGGGGCACAACAACAACTGTATCACAGGTCTGCACTCAGCTCACACTTCTCCTTTTCAGTAGTAAATAAAGTAAATCCCCTGGGGCGTGGCAGGTGTGTTCGCCAGCCCTTCCGTGGAACGCATTTCTCTTGGTTATGCTCACGTTTCTCTTGGTTATGTTCCTGACATCATGCACGTATGTGATGTTCCCTTCGTGCCGGACAGTTCCCACAGCAATGGAATCTTCGCAAATCTCAGAGGCGATGTATTTCTCCACTTTAATGCCTAGGTCCTTCAGAACCAGGTAACCTGTTGGGGAAAAGACACCCAGGTCGAGTTCCAGTCGGGTGGTTCTTATCAGTCCCTCATCCTCCTCCACTGGCCCATAACACACACTCTGTGCCACCCTGGCGCATCATGAGCAAGTGCAGACTAAGGATCTTCTCTAGGTCAGTAAGGGTGGCAGAATCTAGTCCTCTGAGCTCCCCCACACCCCTTTAAGATCCTCTCCACGGAGAGACACCTTCAAAGAACACATTGGACTTCTCCCAGGAGCACCCATTCATTCTCTCCAGGGGGAGGAAGCAGAGCCAGGGAGGTGTCTGCAGAACTGAACCTTCAGTAGTCAAGCCACCTGCACTGAGACATTTCCCCACTGGGGGCTCCATCTTACAGGGCTCCCTCGCCTTTCCCCACTGGGGGTTCCCCCAGACATTTCCCCACTGAGGGCTCCATCTTACAGGGAAGCCCCCAGAGCTCCCTCGCCTCTCCCTGAACAGAGTGGGCAAGGAGGGTGCTCAGAAGCTCAGAGAATCAGGCCCTTGCTTTCTAAAGCCCAATTGTTCCAGCTTCCTCACCAAAACCAAACGGGGGACATACCGCCCCAGAGCTCCCCCTCCTCAGTATTACCCAGGACATGCTGCTTATCAAGTAGGGTCTCCAAGAATGTTCTAAGCAGCTCTGGTTAGCACTCACTTAGCCTTTCCTGAAGGCATGTCACCAGGTAAGATTAAGTTCCAAACACAGCATTCATCTCTTGTCAAGTTGGCTGTATAGAATCCATCCCCCACCCAGATCCAGTCCAGGACTTTGGTAGAACCTATGTAGTGTGTAACTGAAGAATTCATCCTAGGTTTTGCCCAGGACACAATGTGTGCGAGGACACGCTGCCCTGGGTGCACTTAGTGAGTGAGTATGACATGGTTCTTCACCTTGAAGCTGAATTACAGGGTCGAATCCAGCCCTGGTGTAAACAAACACAACTCAACTGACTTCAGTGGAATTGCATCTTACATACAGCAGAACGGAATTTGCCCCGGATGGGTTATTAATTCCAGGCTCCAGGGCCCTGGGACTAGAGCTGGTTGGGAATTTTTTTGATGTAAAAAAAATATGCATCCGAAGAAGTGGGTTGTAGCCCACGAAAGCTTATGCTCTAATAAATTTGTTAGTCTCTAAGGTGCCACAAGTACTCCTGTTCTTTTTGCGGATACAGACTAACACGGCTGCTACTCTGAAACCTTTGATGTAAAATGGTGATTCGTCAAAACAGATGCTTTTTGGGGGAAAGAGTCAGTTTCTGTGAAACTGTCCTTGGGAAGGTTTCTCAGGCCCAGGATGGCATTTCTGGTCGGGGGAGAGAGGGGTGGGGAGGGAGGGAGGGAGAAAGAAAGAACGAAGACAGACATCCCCCCCACTCCCAAACAGTCCAGTGGTTAGGGACTCAGCTGGGATGCAGGAAACCAAGTTCAAGTCCCTGCTCTGCCTGATTCAGAGAAGGGATTTACACCTCAATCTCCCTGCCCCAAGGCAGGTGCTTTACCCACCAGGCTATTGGCTGTTCTGGGGTGGGTCAGTCTCTCTCCCTCTCATGATTTTTCGTGAAAAATTCCAAAAGTTCTCATTTTCATTCCAATGCAAAACTAAAGCGACATTTCGAAACTTCTGATTTTTTTGCAAACTGGAATTCTCGTTTTCCAGCCAGCTCTACCTGGGACACAGTGTTGGCATCAACCTCTGGCTTTGATTTGCTTTCACATTCTCCATATCAGTTAATAAGCAAGCTGGGTCTGTGCTCAGGCTCCGCTGGTGAACGGAAGGGACAACAGCAATTGTGTCTCATGTGCCTGCCCTCTCCCACCACAACTTCCCTCCGTCGAGCAGAAAAAACAGCTACTCAGATTCTGGACTCTTTAAGGGGCGGTTTTGTGGCTAAAGCGCTGGACTGAGAATCCTGGCTCTGCCTCAGGCTCACTCTGTGTGAACTTGGCCAAGTCACTTCATCGCTCTGGGCCTCGGTTTCCCCATCTGTGTAATGGACATGATGACAATGACCTAGCACCGTGGGGTGCTATGAGGCTGAGTTCATTCAGGTTGGTGAGGGGCTTGGATCTCCCTGGATGGCAGGTGCTAGAGCAGTATGAATCATCAATATTTAATACTGTTAGTCATCCAAAAATAAGCTCTCTTGGCGCCTCACCTGTTGCTATGCCATCAAATAGGGACAGCACTCGGATTGGCCTCCTTTCTGTTGCAGGCACTGCCGGGTAGATTTTAGGCGCATCCTGCAATTAAATAGAGAGAGAAATGAAGTGGGCAGCACCTTCAGCCTGGGCTCATGCTCCTATTGCAGCAGGACTCCCATGCTCTGGGTAACAGCTCAATGCTCCACGAGGCAGGCCCCGGGCCCAAGCCCTGTCATTACAGGGCTCTCCGCTGGCTTCTCTTCAGGAGAGCTTGGGAGAGCCCAGAAGCCTTGGAAGACGTGTGTGCAGGAAAACACAAGTCAGGAACACAGAGGGCACCACGACTGGGTCAAATGCTAACAGAAAAGTGTGGATTTTGAGGAGTGGTTTTAAGAATCCAGCAGATTCCCATAATCCCAGATGACAGTCAGCAGGACCCCTCAGGAAGATGCTAACCTCCCTTTTATAGGCAGCACGAAGGATTCAAGCACTCAGAGACCACAGGGACGGATGACGTACAAGAACCCCAAGAGATAAAACATTCCCTGTTGCCTCAATTCCTCCTCCCTCTTCTGCTGTCCTTCGGCCATTCTGCTGCTCTCCCCAGGGCACATCCTCAGCTCAGGCAAGCTGTGATGGCTCCACTGAAGTGCACTGGCTAACTAAAACCAGATCTGCTGCTCCACTTTCATGTCCATATGCGTAGCTAACATTTCCTCTCTGCTGCTTACCCTCCTGCTGTATGGTTCTGTGCAAATCCCCATTCCCAGTGTCCTACACAGCCTCATGTCCTTCCCCATTGCTAGTGTCCTCTGGCCCATCCCCACATGTGATCTGTTGTACTCCTGCCCCAGGTCGATTTCCTTACATATTCCTGTCCTTTGTCGCTGGTGAAGAAGTCTTGCAGCCGTACATTCCAGTCCGGTCGGCGCTGTAACACCCCATAGCACTTCTGTGGTTGACACATGTAACAGCTCCAGGGCTCTTGCTCTTTTGCCTTGGCCGAGGTACCTTGCCCTACCAGGACCTCCAAGCATTCGACACAGAAGCACCTGCGCAAACCAGGAGAAAACAGTAATTGAGTTCCAGAGGCTCCTCTACTGAGCCACCTTCCATCTCCAAGATTATGCTTGTAAATCTCCCCAGGACAGGACACTACCATGGAGCCCAATTCTCTCATCTCTCCCATCTTTCAGGGAGACAGTAGGTCTTCTCTGGCATCACTGTGGAATGCATGTATCTCTAGGTGTTTAGAGCTGATGACCCCAGCTACGTCTTCAGCCAGGGTATTCACCCCCCCACGTCCTGGGCAAGGCACGTGCTATTCTCTTTAAGGGCTACGTGCACAGACCTGCTCAGGTATGAGGCAGGCAGGTCTGCTCAGCACCGCACCACAGTCAGGCCCAGAGCATAGTGCTTTCACCTGGGACTTGCTGTCCACGAGCCAGGTCTGATCAGCTGGACTCTGAGACAACACTGCGTGAAGAGAAAGGCTATACCTCTTTGGATTACAATCTGGGGAAGGCGAGCCAGGAGTCACTGGGAAAGTCCTCTGAACTATGTCTAAGTGGCTTCTCCCTTTCTCTGGCTGGGGTTTTCAAAGGAGCCAGCCAGCCAGCCCCTACTGAATTTCAACTCCCTCCAGTCTCCTTTGAAAATCTCAGCCCCCATTACTGCACTGGTCAGCCTGTCCTAGTCCACACCTATGGGATGCATTAAGGTTGGAGGCCAACATTTTCAAATCGGACTGCTTATCCCATGGATCCTCAGCCTAGATTTAGGTACCGAAACCCAACTGGCCAGATTCTCCAGCAGTGCTGAACCCCTCCCCCTGCGGCGTCTGCCCCAGGAATTCAGTGTCCCTCTAATTTTTCCCACCCATGTGTGGAATGAATTTTGTTATGTGACGCCTCACCTCCATCTTGGTGCACAGAACAAAATTCATGTGGTGGGGTGGGGCCAAGGGGTTCAGAGGGCAGGAGGGGGCTCAGGGCTGGGGCAGAGGGTTGGGGGTGGGAGGGGGGGGGAAGGGTTCCAGCTGGGGATGCAGGCTCTGGAGTGGGGCCAGGGATGAGGGGTTTGGGGTGCGGGAGGGGGCTCCGGGGCTATGGTGGAGAGAGGACTCCCCCCAGCTCTCTATCCCTGCAGCAGCACCTGGGCTGAGGTGGGAGAGGTTGGGCTGGAGCCGGCCGGGAGTGGCACCTCTCCCTGTTGCGGCAGGTCGAGGGCTGGGGGAGAGGCATCTGTCCCCGCCACAGCCCTGAGCACCTGCATGGTGCTTAATAGGCTGCGGCGCAGCCGCGCAGCTTAGAGGGAACTTAGCCCAGGATCTGCTGGAGAAGGAGAAACATCCGTGGCGGGTGCCAGGGCGGGGGTGCCTACCGGCAGCAGCTGGCATTGCTACACAGCAGCAGCTCCTTGCCCTCGCAGCACACGGTGCAGTAGGACTGGTAACCGTCCTCGTCGTACATGTAAAAGAGCTCCAGGAATCGATCCTAGCGAGAAGCATGCCCAACAGAGAGAGTCAGAATCCCGGAGTCTACTGCAGAGCCAGCGCCACACGGCACCAGGCAGGATGGAGAGAACGCAGGGGGCACATGGCGCACACCAAAACCCTCTGGCTCATACTGAGAGGCAGCACAGCGCTGCACCTCTCCGGTGTCCCGTGGGAGCCTCTAGAGCTCCTGGGTGCACAGGGCAGCAGACGCTGCATCCGCACGTTCACGTAGGGGCCGGATCCAATACCCAGGGGAGCCAATGGAACGAGTCTCACTGACTTCCATGGGCTTTGGATCAGGTGTTAGAAGGGTGCTGCGTGCTCTCCCCTAGGATGGCCAGGACAAGGGTGTGGCACCCTAGCTCCACCTCCCCCCGCCCTATCCTGGGTAAGGTGACCGGCCCCCTCCCCAGCCTTAGCGCACGGTCACAGCATGACCCCTCCCGCATCCCTCTGGCAGAGCGAAGTGTACCCCGACACGGGAAGGTTAGCAGTGCTCCGGTAGGCCCTGGGGCTTCCCACCCCAGCTGGTTCTCACCCCACCCCACTCGGCAGCTGCTCTCAAAGCCTCGCAGGCTGTAGAAGCCAGAGTCACTACACACTAACAGTGACCTGACCCAGCCTTCTCCCCCGGCCCCCCGCACCCACCCTCACTAGTGACTTACCCTGCAAGTCTGGCAAAGGCCCCCCTCAAACAGCGGGTGGAATGTGGCTGGGTTTTTTCTCCCGCACGATAAACAACTGTCTGTTTAATACAATGAACACACCCTTTAAAAACAGTGTTATTGATCCCAGGAGCACCTAGAGGCCGGATGCCACAGTGCCAGGCGCTGCACAGACGCACAGTGAGAGACAGCTCTCGCCCCGAAGAGCTCAATCTACGCAGACGAGAGACACAGGAGGGCAGAAAAGAAGGATGATTATTCCCCGCGTTAACACCGGGGAGCCGCAGCTCCGAGAGACGAAGAGCCCCGATTCAGGTGCTCAGCACCCACAACGGGAGCCAGATTTCCCAGGCAGCGCAGCTCCCAGGTAGCTTGCTGTAATCGGTGAAAAGGGACCCCTGAGAATCGAGTGGCAGGCAGCAGCCTCTTTGCCAGTCACTGCCCACTCCGTGGCTCCCACCAGAAGTCCACAGGGCCCTCCCTGCTAGTCTGCAGAATGAAGCATTTTAAGAGCCAACCACCACCTCTGTGACGTAGGTATGACCATTATTAGTACTTTGCAAAGAGACACAGCAAGTGAAAGTCAGTTCCGAGTCTGTGGCAGAGCAGACTAGAACCCGGCTGTCCTTAAATCCCTACCCATTACCGCTTGGGCCTTATCTCGCTACGCTCCGGTCCCTTCCGGAGTTTCAGTTCTGCCTAGTTTGTAAGGAAACACTGTCCATAAAGAGAGGCTACTTCTCCCCTTTGCTGCGTCCCACTTAATACTGGACTAATTCTATTCACCCCCCCCCGCCCCGCCTCATTTTCTCCATTTTCCATAGATCGTTATACGGCCCTTTGCCCCATATTATTTTTTACAGCATGTTTAGATCTAGCAGAATTTCAAGAACAAACCAATTTCTGACCAACTTGAGTTTAACCTTTGGCCAGTAGACTGATCTCTTAGACTGAAATTTACCCCTGTACGTATAGAGGGCCAGTGAAAGGTCTATGTACCAGGTAGACTCTCCTGAGAGGAGTCAGGACCCAATCCTGCAGGGATATACACACACATGCTTCACTTTATACATTGAGAGCAGCCTCAGCGAACTCCAAGGCACTGCTCCCAGCATCTCAAGTTAAACACCTGGGTAACTGTTTGCAGGGTGACTGGCCCTCATGCATTTCACCCTGCGGGAAGGATGGTCACCTCTCCAGCAACCTGGAGAGCTTCCAATAATTCCACATGGTGCAATTAAACGGGGGAGACCAATTATCTCTCATCTCAGGCCATATCCAAGCACCTGACTTAGCCACTGACTTTTGACTGAGAGAAGAAAGGAAACTAATTACCTTCAAGGCTCCTGTTGTTGTTTGTGACTTCGGAAACCATTTGCTCTTTACAAATAAAAAACAAAAAGAAAATGTGCTCAGTCCTTAAACGATTTTATGTAGCAAACTTTACATGTAGCCTATTTAATAGCACTCAAGTTCCTTAATTTAAACCACTATAGCAATACTGAATATTCACCCGAAGGCATATATATATTCACATATTATGTACTTATCTTATACAGACTGTGTGTCCTTCTAGGAGCTTTACTCCTGGGGTTCACTGCTCTGAAACAGTCCCAAATGAACCCAGGGGACAATACAGTTAAATACATTTTGGCAGAAAACGTTCTGTATCCGTATATTAGCAGGCAGCATGAGGATGTGCGAGTATGGCCATGCCTAGATTAGGCTGTCATGCTAACCGTGTTTGTGTGCAGATTAGGGTACGTGCAGGCGAGGGCTACGTGTAGCGGGGGCGGGTACACATTATGTGGGTATGCAGTGTGCAGAGGTGTGGATACTGACACAGCTAGGCAAATACTCCAGCTCCCACATTTCTGGTGCTATACCAAAAAATGTCATTCGTTCCGTGCTGCCTGGGAGGGAGTCACAGCCTGTCACACGTCACTTGCCCAGAGGGGTGTCTTTCTGTGTCTAAGTTTTTGCTGAATTGTGACATCCCCCTTGGTGCCACACACCCCCATCTCCCGAGTTACCTCTGCTCTGGTCCTCCTCCACCCGCTCCTTGCTGTTGTTGCAGAAGTTAGTCTTTAGTCGCTTGGCTGGGGGGCAGTGTTCAGGGGCACAGACCTCTTCAATGCCATTCTTGAGGAGAGCCACTCCGTTCTCTGTGAAAGGAGAGCAGACTCAGCCTTCCCAGACTCTGTCCAGTCCTGACCCACTACCCTGGCTCTTTAGTCTTGAGAGTCTCCAAGAAAGGTGTTGAATTTCTCTCTCTCCTTTCTTTCTCCCTCATCCTCACCAAGAATAAGTGCCCTCCTCCCCTGGCCAGATTTATCCTGGTCTAGTGAGAGGACCATGACAAGCAAAGGCCAGAGCGCTCCCGAACTAGAATCAGGTTACACGTTCTTCCAGTGGGAAGCCTCTTCCGCTAACACATGCTCGACCTGATGCCATGTTCCCCTCAGCGTCTGGCAACGCGGCACCCACACCCCGTCCTTCCGGCACGGATTTAGTCTGAGCTTCTGCTGAGACCATCAACATTCCCGCTGTGTGCCAGGAGAGTTAATCCTGATGCCAGACCGGGGCGAGGGCTGCATGTGCTGTGCTGGAGATGATTGGGAGATTGGGGAGGGCGGCTGGGAGATTTCTTTGCACCTGGCACAGTTCACCCCCTCTCCCTCACACACTAAGCCCTCCCGGCCAGCCATGACTCTGGGAGAGGCGTGTCAAGGGCCACTCTTACTTTTTGCCTTTGCTGGGCATGAAAATATTTCCACAGAGGGGGAAGCTGTGTCCCCCGAACCCCTCGTGTGGCATCCAGCCCAAGCCCTGCCTGATGGGTGAACACAGCCAAACAATAGTTTAGTTCCTGGAGCAATATTTTTATGCCAACTGAAAGGTGCTTCGTGTCTTTCCTCCGGCCTTTTGCTAAGCTGCTGCTGGGCGTCTTTGTCTAATGGCACCCACTGTGCTACTGCCCAGCCAGGGCCAAACGCATCCCTGGGACAACTCCACTGCAACCACTAGAGTTACACTAGAGAGAGCTCTGGCCCCCGGTGTGCGGAGGGGAGCCTGAGCAGCAGACGACGATGCAGACAGGAGGGAAGAGGTTGGCCAAGGGGTCAGCAGCAGCTAACCAAAATCAAATCCAGAGCCCGGAAATGAGGGCAAGTGGCCAGGTGTGTTGGCAAGTCTTGACCAGGCCAGCTCTGCTGTCTGGCTCACAAAAGCAGCAAACCTGGGGTTTTCGGCGGTTTCAGTCCCTTGCATCCCATGGGCTTGAAGCCGCTCAACGCCCAGTCAATCATGGGCTTTAGCTGCTCTTCCAGAGACTCCCCAGCGGTGCCTGGGAACGTCTTCCCTGCCCGGCTCCTTGCAACCTGCCGGAGGGAGGGGAGAAGTTACCACGTTCTACGCAGCCGGCTGACAAGTCAAAGCGTCTCACAATGGCATCCCAATGACGGTCTCACTTGGAAACAACCACTCGAGGAGAGAGGGCCAGGGTCATGGGGGCTCTCGCTCGTCTAGTCTGGCTGAAACGCGGAACCCAGGCGACACGGCTGGCCTGACTTTTCTTGCTTGGATGCAGCCTCCTGTGCCAGCCCTCCCCCCAAACATATGTGCACACTGGCTCATTCATACCAGCACCTGCAGCAACAGCTGCTCCCCGGGGTGGGGGGCGCACAGGCCTTTCCTTGAGGGCAGCGCGGCCACAAATTCCAGCAGTGGGTGTGCCAGCTCCAGGGGGCTCTCTTGGGGCTTTCCCTCCCAGTCAGCTGGGAAGAGCATGCCTGCAACCAGCCACGTCTGTGAGCCCCAAACCAGGCAGAAGCAGGAGGAATCAGCCCACAGCCACTGGCCCAAATTCCAAAGGCAGTGGAGTCCCTGCAGGTTTGCAGTGAGTAACCAGGAGTGGAATGTGTCCCACTGTGCGTACCAGATATTAGCTTCACGAGGCATTTAGCCCCAGTGCCAATAACAAGGCCTGCGGCTCATCAATCATCAGCCTGGAACAACTGCTCCCAGGATAACATCCCCGAGCGACTGGGGAGCTGCTGCAGGAGAAGCAAAGATCCTGACACAGAGCCAGACGCTGCAAGACCAGCAGGACTCTGGAGGAGCCAGCAGTTACTCCGATTCCCCGCAGCGTAAACGTGAGCAGGGTCCGGCCCCAAGTCTGCACCTTGACACGGTGCCAGGAGAGCAGCGAGAGCATCACTGAGCCCAGCCCGAACAGCTGGGAAGAATCACTGACACTTTGCAGCGTTAGCCCCTTTCGTCCCCGGATCTCAAACCTCCCCTCAACCCCCTCCCCTCCACACACACCCCTTAACTAATGCCTCGATGCCGGGAACTCTCCTAACCTCCCCGTGCGCAGCGGGGAAGGGACTTGCCCAAGCTTACGCAGTGAGAGAGTGACAGAGCAGGGAATGGAAGCCAGGAGTCCTGACTCCGTCACCTGCTCTACCCAGAGGAGGGTGGCAGGGCTGTTTTCAGGGGTGAAGGAGCCTAGTTCCCTGGCCCAGGCACTTTCGCCCTCCTTAGTTTCTTCAGTATTAATGTTGAGCAGCCCAGCTGCAGCACCTGCCTCAGTCAGTCACTCTGGGCAACACCAAGTGTATGCCTCCCGTGGCAGATCACTAATTACAGTCTCAGTGTGGGTGGGATATGGCAGGTTCTGACTTCCCTTCCTACGTCCCCAGTGCTCCCCACGCAGGCCGGAGCCCTGAGAAATGCTCGGCCACCCTGCGTTGCCAAGAGATTCCCACTGAGTGAGCAATCTTGCAACCAAACCCAACCCTGCTCTCCAGTTACCTCCAGGGCATGGTGCACGGCTCGTCGATAGGAGACCAGCTTATTAAACGTAGAGTGGTTGAAATGCTGCCTAAAAGCCATCAGACCCACCAGCTTGTCTGCTGAAACCTAGTAAGAGAATGATCAATACTTAATAACAGATATTATTATTAATAAAATACAAATAATAATAAAGTACCAGGCACTTATCTAGCTCCTTCCATGTAAGGACCTCAAAGAACTTTATAAACATTAAGTCTTGCAACATCCCCATGGAACTGAGTTGCATTATCTCCCCCAACCCAGAAGGAAAATAAGAGACTCGCTCAAGGCTAAACAGCAAATTAATGGCAGAGCCAGGAATAGAGCACAGGTGTTTTGGCTCCAGTCCCTTGCCTTAGGCACACTAGAGCACATCTATATTTACAATATTTAGTCCTGCAGAGAAGAAGGAACCTGTAACGAACAGAAAGGCCATTAGCAGCGTTTGCAAAGGGTGCTTGAATAGCCAGGCACGGAGTCAGCTTGTGGTTTACTCTCAAAACATCCGGTCACACAAGGTGCCTACGTGACATGGTTTGTTTCCCCCAAGAAAGCTCTGCTCAGATCCAGCATCTAGCGCCCAGTGATCTCACCCACCACGCACTGTCCCTGGGGAGTGGGAGGCAGGGCTTACATTGCTCTCCAAGATGCACACCAACATGCACAGAATTGTTAATGGGCATCTGGAGGGAGACTCGTTCAGCCTCTCTCCGCTGGAAGGAGGGTCCGTGCGATGGGGAGAGTGGGTGAGTGAAAGGGAGAGTGTAAAGAACATAGGAATAAATGGCTGACGCTTGAGGCACCAAGGTGCTCTCAGAGGATCTCGCCAGGCTAAAAGGAGCCTGAAGCCCACGTTTTCAACCAGCCTCCATAGCATCACCCACAACATTCACGGGGGCATCCATTCCGCCCGTGCAGAATGGGCGACTTCCCATGCGAATGGCCATCTGCACATTTCCCTGCCCATTCTGCATGGGTTGGAGGTGAGAGAGCTGCACCTGTGCATTTTCAGGTGTGGCTAAGGAGGACCAGCCCTGTGGCAGAGTGTTTTTCATAGACCCATTTTTTATCTGAATAACCTGAGAAATCTGACCCTAAAATCTAGTCCCTCATTCACAAGCTGTCCCTCCCGTTGTAGGTTTGCTCCTGTCACTACCGGCGCTGCTGCTGCAGATGGGATTATTTCCTCTTTTTGTTCATTATCAGACTCTTTGTTTTTGAAAACGAAACCATGCTAAGAAATCCAATCCAGGCTTTGCAAACAGGGGCAAGGCAACAAGATCTGGAAGGGGATCACAACAACGAGACTTGGGCACCCTCTACTGGCCATCTGGCTGCTTCGGCAGCAGCACAGGAGAAATGTCGCACAGGACACAGCAATCCGAGTTTCAAAGCAATCTGCAAGACAAGAGTCCCCAGCCTGACCTTGACTGCTAGAGGGGGTGGTGAGCATCCGGAGCCCCAGTGCTTTCAACGTACCTCGGAGAACTTCCCGTCCCCAAACCATTGCACCCAGCGCATTCCGGAGATTGCCTGACGTTTGGACGTGACTCTGTAGGAGACGATGATTGCAGGCCACCAGGAGAAGCCCTTGATCTTCCCCCACACGAGCTCCCCAATTCCAAAATCTTTCCCATCCTGAAAAAAACCAGGGCAATGCAAATCAGCAGCAGAAAACACCAGCCACACGTTGCACGAGGAGCCCACAGAAAAGCGAATAACAAGCGCCCCCAAGTGATCGTGAAATTGCCAGCTGCAATGTGTACACGAAGCATTCTGTTTGCACCTCTCTCACCTTTACACGATTCACGTCAGTCCAGCTACTCATGTGTGTAAGCATTTACAGGATTGGGCCCTGGAAGCTAGCTCCTACTCCCTCCCAGATGAATGACAAAGCTGCCCTTGACGTCAGTGAGACCAGGTTCAGGCCCTAAGTCACCAGGGAACAGGGAATTTTGGTTCCAAGCAACTGTCTGTAGAAAGTATTGTAAGATTTTCAGAAGAATGAGGGAAAGCTTTTTCTGTTGGCAACTTCACACCCAGCTAGGCCTCCTGGGCACTAACATACAGTGCATGCCTACTCCTGCACTCACCCAACCAGCATGCCCCCTCCTGCTTGTGTCCTGGCTTGCACTATGCAAAAAAAAAAAAAAAAAAAAAAACACCTCAGAGCAGCCTTTTCTCTGCAGTCTCAGGAGCACCTGGTTTCACTGATGCAGAGACATACGGGTTTACCACCTTCACACTGTTGGCCACATCCTCAGCTGGTGGAAACTGGCGAGGTGAGTGAGCTCCACCCATTTCACCAGCAGAGGCCTTTCCTCCCCCCCCCCGAGATTCCCTCAGAGGTATGAATTATGCTGTATTATTTGGCAGGCAGCAATTCTCCAAAAAGGGCTATATTTTCGGAGTTCAATGTATCTGCCCTAGTCATCCACATCATATATAAATTGAAAGCTTATTTTATGTACGTTTAGATGAGATAGAATATGGACCTCTCGAGTGGTGCCGTAAGCTTGTAGGCAAGGTGAAACACTGGTACCCAAAATGAGGCAGTGACATTTTTTGCATAGTTCCAGGAACACTGCAACATGAGGATGACGACAGCTTTTACTGTTTATGTTAATTTCAGCACCTTAGTGTGGTGTTTCATGGCCAAAGCTACCAAACAACAATATAGTAAAAGATTTTTATTGGTTTTGCACGGGCAAGTTTTTTTCCCCTCAGAAATGATGCTGATTAGCATGTGGCAAAAATGGCAAATATCACCATTTTGCAATATACTCACATGAACTGTTTTCACATTACGTATTCTTAGTTTGCCAAAGTATTTCACAAGTGATTAGAATAGGTTTTTTTATATTTTCAAATGAAATGTGCTGACCAGATCAGTCTCACACTGCAGGTTGTGCACCAGTAGCAGTAGATTGCAGCCCCATAGTTTGTACTGCACAGTGGGTAGATACAGACGTATGTGAATTCCTGATGTAATGCGTCTCCATTTGTGAGCTTTTGTACATACATCACACCTAGTCTGCCTGGTAGAAGGTGTTAATGTGTAATTGCCTGTGCATGCTGTACTGGCCTAGGAAATTTCTAGAAACTAGCTTTTTAATTCAGTGGCACTTACGCACAGGTCAGTGTTAGAGATGACAAGCCACAGGTTCATACTGGGCTTCAAAGTGTTCACTAAACAAAAATGGCAATTTGGATACTAACATATAGATCTAATTTAGTACAAGTCAGTGTATTTGGACAAAATGAAAAATGGTGGTGGGATTGCTCACAATATACACTGGGAATTTTACCTTTGTGGGGAGTTGCAGTATATGAAGATATGGAGGATACAAGCCACTTAACGCTTACATCAAAGAGAAAAAAACTCAACACATTTTTCAAAGTTTGCGGGATTTGTCAAGAAAATCAAAAGCAAGCAAAAAACTGTCCAAAGCCACCAGTGCTGGGTAGAATTCGGTGATGGTGGCAGCAGAAGGCAGGAGAGGGGAGTTGTCTCGGCGGCTACTGGGTGAGTTTTCTAGTTTAGGTGATGTGCCACCAATGCTCTATCACAAGTGTTGCTTTCAGAAGTACACAAGCAAGTCAGATATGACGTATGTCAGAGTTGTGTTGAACTCAGGAAAGAAAATAGACTCTGAATCTGATCAGAGAGCATCATGTTCACCTGCTACTATAGCCACCCGAGCAAGCACATCCTCCAGCGATTGGTCCTGCGGCCGTGCTTGCTTGAGAAAACATACACAAGACAGACAAGACACTCCATAAAACAGAAACATTTCAGAGAGGCAGCAGTTCAAGTGGAGATGACGACATGTTGCGCAGAATATCCGTGGAAGGCTGAACTGCTACGGATGCTGTTTATCACTTGCCCTGCTCAAAACCATCTAGTAACACTACAACAATACAGTCACCTTACAACACTGCATTGTATCACCTAGTTGGAGACAATACGAAGTCTCCTGTCCAAGCTGCTACACAGATATAAAGCCCTGCTTCCCTCGGATGTAGAAACAGCAAGCTATTCCAGTAGCAACTTACAGGCAAGATTAGAAAAACACTGGGGTTCTGTAATTTCATTCCATGCACAGCATGGACAAGGTAAGTCTACCATTGTTCTATGCAGCGCAATAACATTAGCTGATGCTGCCCAAGCTGCTAGTCATCTGAAGCAAGATATTAAGTAGCCCAAATGTTTTGTGGATGTTCTTCCAGTGAGTGAGCCTGAAGAACTGCTTTCAAATGATCAAGTGGTTCCTTATAATGCCACTTCAACCCTTCAGTCTGAAAAAGCCAGAATGAAAGCCTCAGAATATTAGCCAGAGCCAGGTGATTGTAGAGGCCAGGTACTTTTGTGCCCCAATTGGTGCATGAGTTTGGTCTTTCTTTGCTAGATAAGCAGGCATACAACTCAGCCAGCAATGAGTACCATCCTTCTGAAGACACACACAGAAAGTGCCTTAAATATTGCGCATTCTGCAATCCAAAGTTTTCACACCACTGCACATAAGCCTTGCTGCACAGCTACCCCATGAGTTTGGGTCTCACAGACTGCACCTTCAGAGACTCTGCATCAATTATGACAAGCTGAGGCAGTGCATCACTAGTGCTGCAAAAACGGAAGTAGAAAGACTCCAGGGAAATGTATTCATTCCAAATGGAATTGTACCACTTCATGCTGAAGACTTCATGCCCCCTCTGCACATTCAGGAGTCAGGGGCTGCTCCAACAGAGGGGGGCTTTGATCAGCCACATCTAGGGAGCTCTACTGTGCCCTAGCCACAACTGCACCCCTCTCTCAACACACTTTCTCCTGCCCCCCACATGTCCAGGGGAAGGTGGGGCAGGAAAGGACTCTGCTACGCCAGCCCTGCAGGGAAGCCCTGGCACTGGGGTTGTTCCATGGGTGCCAGTTAAGCTGGCTTTGCATCCCCTTAAAGGGACACATCGGAGCTGGCATCTCAGCCATTGACTGCCCTGCAGTTGATCAGACACATATTTCTAAATCACACCTGCCTCTGCTGGTCTGGGAGCCGGCTCGCTGCCTAGCTGCCCTGTTATTCTAGTTCTTTTTCATTGCATGTGAGGAAAGTGTAAAAGACGGATTTCTACGGCACCCTTCGTCAGCTTTTCCACATGCGTTTGGCTGTGGGGTGTAGCGTGAAAGCACAGCATTACACAAGTTACCAGCCCACCGAGCATTACACAAGCTACCAGCAGATCAGATTTGACTGAGGTGTGCTCAATGTCACGGAGCTTGTTAGGGGTGATCGTTACCTGGCTCTGATTTCTTTCCAGTTGCTATTGGTTGTTACACACTGTTCTTTGCATGCCAGTGGTTCAGCCCCCACTGGACTGTATGGACTGTCACAATTTGTGGTGTCGCTTCCACGGAGCTGGAATTTGGAATCCGTGAACCCAATTCACACTTGCGGGACAGCACGACTTTGGGGTATACGTGCCTCTGAGAGCCTGATCCTGCGAGGTGCATCCTTAGCCCTTACTGCAGATAACGGGGGCACTGCATCCTACATGCATGGACTGGGTCTGAGAAAAGAGCCAGTGAGCAGGCTCCATCCCTCCCTCTCAGCTCCGTGTCAGGAAAGGCCCATAATTACTGGCTAGTTATTAGGCAGTATAGTCCACCGTCCACTGCATCGCTCGCCTCGGCCAGGACGCAGGGCGTGCCACGGGGCGACACCACACAGCACAGTCTCTTAGTCAGTCAGGGCGCTAGAGGGAACCACCAGATCTGCCCCCATCCAGTAGCACACAAAAGAATCCCTTTCCTGCCCTTTACAGCGAGTCCGGTCTTCTCGAACACAGGAGGCACTACAGGGAGGGAGAGTGATTCCTGGCCAACAGGCCCTCCCGCCCCATTCCTCACCGTGGGCAAGAGAAAGGAAAAGGTCTGAGGGGGAAAAAGGAGAAGAAACTAAGGGGATGGGCAACCAAGAATAACCCTGACGGGGGCCCCAAATCCTGGTCCTGCACGGAACACAAAGCAAACAAGCCAAATCCAAACTAACGCCTATTCCTTCAATAATCATCATCACATGTGCAAATCCTCAGGCTAAGCTTTGGTGTGCATTAGATGCCTAATTATGTAGCAAAATGCAATTGCACAATTCCAGCGAGCCTCTGACCGTGCCCTGGCACTGGGACGCTGTCACAGAGTCACCGGGCGATGCTTTGGAACTACTCCATATGAAGCCAGTCAGGACTTTGTGGGAGCCTCCTCTCTCTGAGCAGACTGTTGCCAGCTTACACAGCTTCGACCTCCCTGGGTCTGACCTCGGAGCATTCAGCATCCCCTTCTCACACCGTGCGCTTCCCACAGAGAGTCCGCCCGCGTAGGGCTCCTGGGGAAGCCAGAGGGCCCTGCCCCACAACTCCGCAGTCAGACGTGACTCTCAGCCAGCCAGTAAAAAGAAGGTTTATTATTCGACAGGAACACAGCATAGGACAGAACTTGTTAGCACAGAAATCAGTGACTTTCAGCCAAGTCCATTTTGCGGAGTCCTGGGCCTGAAGCCCTGGACTCCCGCTCTTCCAGTCCCCAAAAGCAGACTGCCAGCTTCCAGTGACCCAACCTCCATTGCTCCTCGTCTCCCTTCCCAGGCAAAAAGTCACCTGGTCGTCACCTGGTTGCATCCTCCTCCTGGGTCTCAGGTTATGGGCCATAACCTACGGGCAGGCAGCTGGAGCACCCTCACCTGCCCCAGAGGTCTCAGCCAAAGTCACACACCCCTAGTCCCACCACCGAGGTATTGATGCAGCACACAGGGAAACTGAGGCACACACAGTATTCATGCAAAACAGTAAGACTCACGTAGGCTCAAATACAACATAAGGGAAAATCCCCACTTGGTCACAGACGCCCTCACCCAAGGGAGCAACCAATTCATCCTCTTTGGCACCTCCTGCTGGAAACATCAGTGTGTGCAACAGCAGGCTCTGCCGGGGCACAGCTCTCAGCCTGCCCCATGGCACACCGGGGACTCTTTTGGAACATCTAATCCTCCGCACCACCCCCTGCCCTCCGGGCTTCTGCTGGGGGAGAGCAGCTGTACTGCGCAGCACGGGCTCCACAGAACGGGTAACCGGAGCATCCCCTGGGCATCCCGGCTCGGTTCCCTCCCTGGCCAGCACCGCACACAGGGCTGACTCATCCCACCAAGCACCTAAACAGAGCCCTGTGTCTCCTGCCCGCCTGGCTGCAAGAGGAAGCTTGAGCAGTGACATGTGCAAGGGCAGAGGAGTCAAAGGCAAACAGCAGGCAGAGAGGTTGCCATGAAACTCCAAATTGCGTGCCGGGTGAGTGTGAGACTGCAAAACCCAGGAGACGCCTGCCCCATCTGGGAAGTCTGTCCTAGCTCTGGGTACTGTCTTGCTGTCCCGAGATCTCAGTGAGGACGCGATACTGTTCCTGGGTGCAGAGACAATGATTTGCCTGGAACAGGCACAGCTCAGGGATCACTGGGCTCCCCTACCTGGTATTCCACCACTTCCCCCGCAACTCTGCTCTCCTGCTCCCCAGCGACGAGCTCGGGGGATCCGTTCTGGTCCTCCTGGGTGCTGCTGGCAGACGTGGTGCTGCTGCTCTGGGAGGAATCCTTGGAATCCTCCTCAGTGAGGTCGATCAGGGGCACCCGGACAGACATAGCCGTCCTCCTCTTGGAGCACTGGGGAGAAGGAATAGGGCATGAGTAGCCAGCAGAGGGAGGCAGGGAGGGAAACAGAGGGGCGAGGAGGAGAGAGAGAACAAAAGCCTGAAGCGCCAGGAAGGCAGCACAGACCCATTCTGAATCACATCGTCCCTGCAAACTGCATCCCCCAAACCACCCTAAAATACCACGTTTCCAGGCGGAGAATCAGAGAGCCAGACTCAGAGCCCTGGACAGGCGCAAGGAGAAAGCTCTGCTCTTGAAGCCATACTACATACCACATGGGCTTCAGTTCTGCCCTTGCCAATTCAAGCTCTCCCTGTGTGTGGTCCCCTGCCCCACTCAGAGTCCTACCCGAATGGGAGCCAGGGACTCCTTGTCACTCTCCAGGTCATTCTCTTCTTTAAGTCCTGCCTGGAATATCCTGCGAGCTGGAGGCTTCTGCCTCAGGCTGCTCTCCCAGCCGGCAGCACCGCGCGGTCGCACCTGGAACCCAGAGAGAACAGGCCTTGGTTACACCCTTCATGCTCTTTTCCCAGCATAGAGTCAACACAGGGAATACGTTTAATCTGCACCGATGCTTTCCCACAATGCACGGCAAGGGCCATGCTGTGATCACGGGCCAGTTTCATTCTACCTGTAGGGCCCACAGCAATCGGAGACTGAATTGTGAGGGACAGCAGCAGAGGCTACGTAAGGTGTATGGTCCAGTGGGCAGGGCATTAGCTTGCAGGCAGGAGACCTAGGTTCTCGTCTTAGCTCTAGCACAAACCTGCTGGGTGATGCGGAGTGAATCCCGGCATCTCTCTGGGCCTGTTTTACCTCAACAAGGCCAGACACTACCGCTCACTGCGGGACTGTGCAGTGCAAAACGGGGCCCCGATCTGGACTAGAGCCAGCAGATGCTACAATAACAATGTGTATGGTCATGTGGTATCTCAGCATCTCATTGCACGGGCCTGGTGCCTCTAAACTACCTGATATCCCGCCCACGAGAAACCCAATATTCTGTCCTTGGGGCAGTTATGCTCCCCCATGAGAGCCCAGCCCAGATCCTAGAAGGGATCCGTATTTAGAGGGACAACTTTTGTTTTCGGTCATTGTGTTTCCCTGACTGTGTCTCCTCCTAAAACCACCACTTCTTGGCAGAGAGGTAACTAAAAACATGTTTAAAAGGCAACAAAAAGGACCTGAGATTTGGCAGCTATTCTGAATGCTATGGACTCTGGAGCACGGCATCTGCAGCTGGGCTGTACTTGGGGGAGAAGGGTCTCTCTCTGCAGTCCCTTCCTAGGGCCCCAGCCCTCATGTGTGTACACACACACACACACACACACACACACACACTGATTCTGCAGAGGCTCCCTCCCGTGGCAGCTTTTCCCCTGTGGTTTGTTGATCTCATGTTCAATGAAACATTCTAAAGCAGGCGGGTTTCCTGCATCTGGGGTAACAACATTTTAAAATAAAACAAGTCTTCAAAGCGGTCTAGGGGTAAACAGGCCCTTCAAGCCAACAGAATTTTAACCCCTGGGTTTATTTTAGGGCTTCTGCTGTTGGAAGGTCTGTACTCACAGGCAGATCTCTAGCTTTGGGGTTTCAAAGTCAACACAATAAAGTGACACTGGAGGCCAGAAAGGCCTCTGAATTCATCATTTTACACATGGAAGTGAAAGGCAAAAGTAAGAAGCCCCAGTTGCAGCAAGGTCCCCGCTCGTGTCTGGGGCAGGCAAAGGTTTGCGAGCTGGTTCCAGTTCCTTCTTTCTTTCTTTCCGGTCTTCTACTCTCAGCAAGGCTTTGACCTTCTCTATATTTGACCTTCCACACAAGGGTCTCAAAACACGTGACAAGCATCAGAGAAAGAGCCCTCCCAGCTCCCGTGCAAGGCAGGTACTTCCCCCACATTTTAAAGACAGGAAATCTAAGGCGGAGAGAGGGAAAGGGACTTGCTCAAGGTCTCACCATCCATGGCGGAGCTGGGATTAGAGCTCCGATCTCACGCTTGGATCACAAGACCATGTACCCTTGTAAAGGAATGTAAGGCTTGCCTCTCCTATACCACACTCAAATCCCCAGGCGCTCCGCGGGGCGAGAGGGGAGGGAATTAGTGACTGTCTGTCTCCTTGTTGACACGCTCTTTGTTCTGTAAACAGGAGATTAGGTTATAGCTAGAACTGAACGCTGTTTGGCTTTTGGGTTTTCTTTTTGATTAAACTGCCCCTTGGAATTTCTCTGGCTCGAGAAAGAAGCTAGAGCAGTTTGGCTCCCAATCTGCCGACAGAGAGTACAAGGGCCAGACTGGATCAAATGCACGGTCCATATGGACTATACCTAGGAAGCTGCCAGTCTTGTCACAGGGCCAATTCCCACAGCACTTCCTCGGGCCACGGGAGTCAAGAACAAATGAGGAGCACAGAATTTGGCCCACAGTTATTAGCAGCACTTCACAAGCGAGCTGTGCGCCTGTTTAACCAAATGGGCTACGAAACCACCATGCAGACTCGTGCCGTGTTTCTCAAATGCGGCCACCAGCCCTTTTTTTGCCGCCAAAAAGCCTCCAAAGGCTGGGCGGAGATTGGGGGGAGGGGCAAAGCAGCACGCGGCTGTTGCGTCTGAATAGCTGTTACCAAGGGCAGCGAGATGCACTGCCTTGGTGCTTGCCCTGGGGCCACCACCGGGAACGGCGCCCTGCACCGTGCAGCCGCCTCGGGGGCTCCAGGCAGAGCCTCTGGAGATATGGGGCTGGTGCATTGGGTACCGGAGGCAGCTCGTCAATGGAGGTGGCTGCAGCGTTCGGTTGCCAGGGCACTCCCCGGGCAGCTCTCCCACTCCCACCTGGCTGGGGCACGGGGAGCCAGGGACTTCACAAGCAGCCGGTGAGTTCCCAACCCACCTTCCCTGGGGCGTCTCTCGCTGCCGGGCCGCAGGAGGCAGGGGACCGACAGAAGGGTTTGTCAGAGCGACAACAAGCAAGACAAAATTTGCTGTGACAATTCACAGGCTACTATACAATAGAGACCAGAGCACGATGCTCTGTGGGAGGAAACAACTGACCTCCGGAGCCTTGCTGAGCTTCATGGGCCAAGATAGGTCTTCCTTGGAGACGTCTTCCTTGCCGATCTTCTTGCTCCTAGTGGGCACTATTCGTAGGTCCACAGCATCTACAGGAAACAGTCCAAAGTAATACTGCCCTCAGTCAGTTGTTCTGGAATGGGACCCGCTTACCTCAGCACGGTGTTTGGTATAAATCAGCAAGTCCTGACCTCACCCACGTCCCACCCTAGGGAAGAAATCTGGCCCAACTCTGAAGATTTTGACAGTCTCAGACCTCACTTCGGCAGGATTGCGAACCCCAAGCATTCAAACATTGTAAGTCAGCTGCCAACAAATCGTGAGATTGCCTTAAAAATGGTAAAGGGTTTTTATTTTTTAAATGATAAATGTTAGGCCTTTAGGGTGTAATAATGGTAACAGCCAGCTCAGCAGCAGATCTCAAAGCACTTTACAAAAGACATCAGTATCATTCTCCCCATTTTATACACGAGGCACAGAAGGTGACTCCCCCAAGGTCATCGGCAAAGCCAGGAATGGAACCCTGGTCTCTGGAGTCCCAACTCAGTGCTCAACCCCCTAAGCCACGCTGCTGCCTCCTCTTTGTATTTTCAAGCCTTTCTCCATAGCCACACAGGCTAGAAATGTACTCCTTTCTCTTTTTAATTAAAGCTGGCAGTCTGACCTAATCACACGACTCCAGGAGCTGGGGCACTGGGGAAATCTATTCACTATTAGGAGACTCTTGATAGAATCGCAAGAATTGGCAACACTCCTTTTGTGCATATTTATTCGTCCTCGGTGTTGCTTGCCTGGCTCAGGGTGGCACAGTCAAATGACTCAGGGAGGCAGAGCAGAGCTTGTCACATGTTTCAGGATGGCAAAGCCTGTCACATAGCTCCAGGCAATTTTCAATAGGAGCATGTGTTGCCATTATTAGTTATGATGTCTCTGCAATGTACTCTACGGCTCGGAAGATGCCAGTGGTTTATTATTAACTTGTGCAGCATCAGTGAAATACATCTAGCACACCCAATCCCAGCGTGCAAATCTGCCCTATTGCTCATTGCCCACCGGGGACCCAGTCCTGCTCCCTCTCAAGTCAATGGCAAAAGTGCCTTTGTCTTCAAGGAGAGCAGGATCCAGCCTTACATAGATGAGAGCTTTCAGAGTAGCAGCCGTGTTAGTCTGTATCCGCAAAAAGAACGAGGAGTACTTGTGGCACCTTAGAGACTAACAAATTTATTTGAGCATAAGCTTTCGTGGGCTAAAACCCACTTCATCGGATGCATGCAGTGGAAAATACAGTAGGAAGATATATATATACACACACACACACACACACACACACACACACACAGAGGACATGAAACAATGGGTGTTACCATACACACTATAACGAGAGTTATCAGTTAAGGTGAGCTATTACCAGCAGGAGAGGGGGAAAAAGAAACTTTTTGTAGTGGTAATCAAAATGGCCCATTTCCAGCAGTTGACAAGAAGGTGTGAGGAACTGGACGGGATGGGGGGGGGGGGGGGGAAAAAAAAAGGGGGGGAAGTTTTTTTTTGTGTGATGACCCATCCACTCCCAGTCTTTATTCAAGCCTAATTTAATGGTGTCCAGTTTCCAAATTAATTCCAATTCAGCAGTCTCTTGTTGGAGTCTGTTTTTGAAGTTTTTTTGTTGTAATATTGTGACTTTTAGGTCTGTAATCGAGTGACCAGGGAGATTGAAGTGTTCTCCAACTGGTTTTTGAATGTTATAATTCTTGACCTCTGATTTGTGTCCATTCATTATTTTGCGTAGAGACTGTCCGGTTTGGCCAATGTACATGGCAGAGGGGCATTGCTGGCACATGATGGCATATATCACATTGGTAGATGTGCAGGTGAACGAGCCTCTGATAGTGTTGCTGATGCGATTAGGTCCTACGATGGTATCCCCTGAATAGATATGTGGACAGAGTTGGCAACGGGCTTTGTTGCAGGGATAGGTTCCTGGGTTAGTGTTTTTGCTGTGTGGTGTGTGGTTGCTGGTGAGTATTTGCTTCAGGTTGGGGGGCTGTCTGTAAGGGAGGACTGGCCTGTCTCCCAAGATCTGTGAGAGTGAGGGATCGTCCTTCCGGATAGGTTGTAGATCCTTGATGATGCGCTGGAGAGGTTTTAGTTGGGGGCTGAAGGTGACGGCTAGTGGCGTTCTGTTACTTTCTTTGTTGGGCCTGTCCTGTAGTAGGTGACTTCTGGGTACTCTGCTGGCTCTGTCAATCTGTTTCTTCACTTCAGCAGGTGGGTATTGTAGTTGTAAGAACACTTGATAGAGATCTTGTAGGTATTTGTCTCTGTCTGAGGGGTTGGAGCAAATGCGGTTGTATCTTAGAGCTTGGCTGTAGACAATGGATCATGTGGTATGGTCTGGATGAAAGCTGGAGGCATGTAGGGAACTATAGTGGTCAGTAGGTTTCCGGTATAGGGTGGTGTTTATGTGACCATCACTTATTAGCACTGTAGTGTCCAGGAAGTGGATCTCTTGTGTGGACTGGTCCAGGCTGAGGTTGATGGTGGGGTGGAAATTGTTGAAATCATGATGGAATTCCTCGAGGGCTTCTTTTCCATGGGTCCAGATGATGAAGATATCATCAATGTAGCGCAAGCAGAGTAGGGGTGTTAGAACAACGCTTCCTCAGCTCTCGTCCCCTAAGTCAGCCATAAAAATGTTGGCATACTGTGGGGCCATGCGGGTACCCATAGCAGTGCCACTGATTTGATGGTATACAATGTATACACCATTAAATTAGGCTTGAATAAAGACTGGGAGTGGATGGGTCATTACACAAAGTAAAACTATTTCCCCATGTTTATTTTTCCCCCTACTGTTATTCCCACCTTCTTGTCAACTGCTGGAAATGGGCCATTTTGATTACCACGACAAAAAGTTTTTTTTCCTCTCCTGCTGGTAATAGCTCACCTTAACTGATCACTCTTGTTCTAGTGTGTATGGCAGGGGTCGGCGACCTTTCAGAAGTGGTGTGCCGAGTCTTCATTTATACACTCTAATTTAAGGCTTTGTGTGCCAGTAATACATTTTAACGTTTTTTAGAAGCTCTCTCTAAGTCTATATTATTATATAACCAAACTTCTGTTATATGTAAAGTAAACAAGGTTTTCAAAATGTTTCAAAAGCTTTATTTAAAATTAAATTAAAATGCAGATCTTAGTTTAGGGTGATCCTTGCCCTTGCTTTTCCTTGCTGAGTTTTCCAATGTCCGGCACGGATTTGGATACTTTAAGCTGCACACAGGCTTCTGAGTGATCAGTTGTTAACCGGCTCCGAGAAGGACACAGGACCGATTTCATGTGTGAAAATACCTGCTCACACAGGTATGTGGATCCAAATGCTGCAAGCATTGCAAACGCAATTTTCTTCAAACAGTTAAATTTCACTGTCAGGGATGTCCAGCAGGTCAGAACAGAGGCCCCAGGATCTCTCTCGGTAGCTCCAGGTGTGCTCCGCAGATCCACAAACTTTGATGTCCACAATTCTGAGCTTTTTAACCGAATGAGCTGCATTTCGAAATCTTCAACACCCATCCACTGAAATACAGACAAATCCAAGTCGCTTTCGTTGAACTTTTCAGGTTTAATTAGAAAAGAAAGCAATGGGCAAATTGCTGGAAATCTTGAAATCTGTCAGAAAATTCTGATTCCAGTTCTTGCATGTACTTTCCAATCTCATCGACATTGACAGTGCAACGTGTCGATAGCTCTTTTATGAGTGGGAAGTAGCAGAAAGTAGAAGTTTGAATATTCCTGGAAAAAACTGCTAGTTTCACAACAAATGCTTTGCAGGCTTCATAAAGATCCAGAACTGTTTGCCCTGCACCCTGGAGAGAGAGGTTGAGTTCGTTTAGGTGAGCGGTGATATCAGTTAGAAACATGAGCTTACACAGCCATTTGTCATCATCCAGTTTGGGATAGTTTTGTTCTTTTTCCAACAAAAAGGCCTTGATTGCATCAACACAGTTTACAAAGCGCACCAAAACCTTGCCACGACTTAGCCACCGAATGTTGCTGTGAAGTGGGATGTTGTTATAAGCACTGTCCATCTCTTCTAGCAGTGCTTGAAATTGTGAGTGAAAGCAGCTCGAGCAACAAGGAAATTCACAATTCGCACCACTGTATTCATCACATTATTAAGCTCTGAATTAGAATTTTTAACACACAGGTTTTCTTGATGGATGATACAGTGAAATTTGACTGTCGGACGGCCAATTTGATCTTCAAGTAACTTTACAAATCCCTTCTGTTTTCCGACCATGGCAGGAGCACCATCTGTTGTCACACAAAATATTTTACTGACGTCAACGCCTCATTCTTCAAAATGGTTTACAAAACTTTCCAGTATATCTTCCCCCTTTGTTGTGCCATGCAGGGGTTTTAGGCAACAAAGTTCCTCTTGGATTTCATCAGAAGCACAATATCTTGCAACAACTGTCAAACGTGGAACGTCGTTTATATCCACTCTCTCATCAACTGCACCACTAAACACTGCTGTGTCTTTCAATGTAGTCGTCTGCTTTTCCTTAATGTTTTCTGCCATTTCACTTATGCGTCTCTTAACTGTTCTGGCAGAGATGGGCAGTTCTTTTATTCTAGATATGATTGTATCTTTATTTGGCAAATCATTGAACAAAATCTCTGAACTGCTGAGAAAAATTTCTTTTATATATTCCCCACCTGTAAACGGCTTTCCATTTTTTTTTGCAATGCACTGTGCAATCTTGTAACTTCCTTCTGTAGCTTGATTTTTACTTACACTTAAGCTTTTAAAAACACTGCTTTGCTTCTCATATCCTGCTACTGACTTTTTGCGCGATTCAATCTTGTCAAGAAAGGTTTTCTCGTACTTCGTTTCAAAAGGTCGAACACTTGATGTGCGACACACAACACTTTCATAACAGAAAGCACAAATAGCACGCGCCTTCTTTTCAAGAAATCCAAATGCGTCTGTCCAAGCAGGCTGAAATGATCGGACATCTGGCTTCGCTTTCTTAGGAGCTGCCATTTTGTCAAATGTTCCCTTCAACTCTCAGTGGGGAAAAAACATGGCGCTAGAAGGCAGGCACAAGGTCAAACGCAGCGTGGTCTGATCTAAGCAATTTTAAGACGGGGGTGCTGAGCTGCCTCGTATGCAACCCGCACTGTCCCAGGCTGGGGACAGTGGGCCACAGCGGGGAGGCTGCAGACCACTGATCCAAGGCCAGAAGCAGAGCCCAGGGTGGCCTGCTGGGACTCCAGGCTGGAAAGCAGGCTGAGCAAGGCTGGAGATCCGGACCCCGGCTGACAGGAGGTCAGCGGCTGGAACCCCAGATCGGCGGCTGGTAGGGCTGAGCAGGGCCGGAGGCCTGGTCCCTGTCTGGCAGGGGGCCTGTGCTGGAACTCCAACCGGAAGCAAGGTAACTGGGGCTGCGGCGGGGACCCCAGCTGACCTCTGGGGTTCTGGCCGCTGGCTCCTGCCAGCCGGGGTCTCCGCCCGCTGCCAGCCTGGGGTTCCTTCACCCAGGCCGGCAGCGGGCACTGAGTGGGACCGGCGGCGGGACCCCGGCAGGCAGGAGCCGGCGGCCGAAACCCCAGAGCGGCAGCGGGCTGAGCCGCTCAGCCCCCTGCCGTGTGCCATCAAAAGTCGGCTCGTGTGCCACCTTTGGCACACGTGCCGTAGGTTGCCGACCCCTGGTGTATGGTAACACCCATTATTTCATGTTCTCTGTATATATATATCTTCCTACTGTATTTTCCACTGCATGCATCCGATAAGTGGGTTTTAGCCCATGAAAGCTTCTGCTCAAATAAATTTGTTAGTTTCCAAGGTGCCACAAGTACTCCTCGTTCTTTTTATAGATGAGAGCCACATTAGAGAAGCCCAATCTATACAAGCACCCAATGCAATGATCTTCACTGCACCCAGCACCGCCTCCAAGAAGTCAGCTGTGGAAATCCAGAGCCCAGCCCATGCTGTGAGTGCAGTAAGAGGAGACTGACCTTGTGTATTGGGCCTCCCATTTGCTTCCAGAGCTGGGGGAGAAGCTTCATCTTCAGCAGGGTCACTGCAGCCTCCGTTGACAAAGACCAGCTCTGCCCTGCAGTCTGTCTCCCCATCGCCATGGCACTTGTCTCTTTTCATGCTAGCCTGCGGAAATGATTTGAGGTACAACAGGAGAGAAATTTAGCCACCCACTAAATACAGCCAAGTAGAGTCTGAGAAAGACAAACTGGGCTGCGTAACCTTCTAAATGCAGCCACAACTGAACAGCCGCTTAGCGGCTTTCTTAAGGCCTGGTCCAATGCCCATGGACATTAATGGAAAGATTCCACCGACTCGAATGAATGCTGCATCAGTCCCTTTCTGTAGCCCGTCCTGCTGAGATTCACACGCGGCTCTGATTCTCCTAAGTGTCGCTGCTCTTTACAACCTTCTGGACGGGGCCTGGTAATGATCTGAACAGCACTTCGAGTCATTAGTCCTGAAGTCAGGCCAGTTTCACACAGGTGCAACGCCAGTGGAGCGGCTCCCAATTTATACTGGTGTACATGAGAGGAGAATTCCCGATCTAACAGACTGGACATCCTTAATCTAGAGTGGAGTTCCTTGTTCTAGATTTCAAGTGGGGAGGGATAGCTCAGTGGTTTGAGCATTGGCCTGCTAAACCCAGGGTTGTGAGTTCAATCCTTGAGGGGGCCACTTGGGGATCTGGGGCAAAATCAGTACTTGGTCCTGCTAGTGAAGGCAGGGGGCTGGACTTGATGGTCCCTTCCAGTTCTAGGAGATGGGATATCTCCATTAATTTCTATTTCTATTTAAGCTGCTGTCCCCAATCACGTTGGAGGAATGAGATGTTTCCAAAAAGCCTACACTACCAGGGAAAACCAAGTCCCCATATTGCCACTAGACTGGTTATTTTCCTTTGAAAAATGCACAGAGGGGATCCTAGCCCAGGGCAAGAGGATGAGCTGGGGCAGCAATATTAAAATGCACCAGCCAGACAGCCAGTAGGGCAAAGTCCTGCAGTCCACACTCAGCTGCAACTCCCACTGAATTCCAAGGGGGCTTGGCTGCAACAGAGACCGAGCGAGAGCTGCAGAATCTGGCCCAGGAGATGTGGTTTATTCTAGTTTAAAAAAAACAAAACAAAAAAAACCGCAACAACTTTGATTTCCAATGCAAGGAGTTTGTCAGGGGAGTCCAGACAACACATAAACAATAGGACACTTTCTGCACAACCACACACACACACACACACACACACACACACTTTAGAAAATAAATAAATACACCGGGTTGGCAGCTCAGGTCCCCACAAGAGGGGCCTGGCTCCAGATACTTTGGGAGGGCAGCTGCTGCAACTGCAAAACCTGACATCAACACAAGGTCAGTTACAAACATTCATATTTATCGGCATTGACGCTAATATCAATAGCTTCAACAACTCTCTTTACCACTGCTTGCCGGTGCATAGTCTGGTTTAACAGATGTAAATCTCCCCCTAAAATGCTGCCCGGCCCTTCTCAGCGGGGCCGACCGAACCAAAGCCATTGTGAGATTCTTATCCAAGCTCCTTTGGAGACAGAATGAACCACAAAGTCGGAAATACAGAACCTCACAGGGCAGGGGCATTTTCAAACCCTCCCATGTTTAAAATGTTTCTGATTCTCGTCAAACCACCCACGCACCTCCTCTCCCTGAGGTGAGATGCAGCAGGCAACATGGCAGAAAGAGCAGGGTCTTTTTTTTTGCAGAAGGTGGTTGAAAATCCAGCTTATTATGGGCTGCTTCAAACTGACTAGGGGGCAGCCACTGCCACCCCACACAAGATGTCTGCTGAAAAACAGGGGGCCAAATTCTGCTCTCAGTCACATCGGTGAGGAGCTGGATTAATGCTGATGTAGTCCACAAAATACACTTCCAGCCCTACCCTGACATTGCCTCAGGCCTCTGCCTCTTCCAATCCAGTCACACCATCTTCCAACTCTGTCCCCTACTGTTTGGCCTAACCAAGGCTAGTGCCATTCTCGTACATTGTTTTTACAGTTGTCCACACGGGACAGAGAAAGATGTGGCCAGAGAAGCTAGGCAGGGAGGCAGTGGAAGTGTTGTCTCTCCCAGTGCTGACATTCAAGGACCCCCTTCTCCCTCAGCACACTAGGCTTGCGAGTTCCACTTTCCAGAGGAGATTCAGGAGCCAGGGACAAAGTCCGCTCCTTGTGACACTGGTGCTAGCACACTCAAGTTGCAGAGAGCACAAAGGGGGAGGAACTGAGAGCATGCGTCCCTCCCAGGAACCTGGGGGGCAAAGGGTCGCAAGCTACTTGGGAGCAGGGACTCAGCAGCCATGCTGGTTTAATTATGCAGAATGGCTTCAACTGAAGTAGGGGCATAATCTTGGTAGAATCAGAGAAATTATTAATTTAAAATGTTTTCTCTTCAGCCAAACCACATGAACCATTTAACCAAGTCCAGAGCCATTGGCCCACCTAATGAATTGTTTATAGGGGGATAAAACCATTTCAGAACTGGCAGTAAGATGGATTCACCTCTGCAATGCTACTGCTCGGTTGTGAGGACTGGCCGAGGGAGGGCCCAATTCTGCTCCGATTGAAGTCAATGGCAACTGCCATTCACTGCAGCGGAAGTAGGATCTGACCCATTCTGGATGAACGCAGCACATCAGCTCTAGGGTGAGACGTGTCCTGAGTGTCTTATGAGAATTGCCTCCTCCTTGGTCTAACTTCCCCTCATCCAGCTGGATTCAGCACCAGCTTCCCCTTTTCCTAATCAGCAAAGATTCACTGAGAACGACACAGCTACTGTGGATCTAAAGGACACGAGGCTGCAGGTTTGGGCCTGATCCTGCTCCCATACATGAAATAACTATTAGGTTATTGGGCCCAGCTCTACAATATTCATAATTATCAAGAGCCCCCAGCCCTTCTCCCATTGAATCCAATCCGAGCAGTGCCCTTCCAAAGTGTTTTGCAGATTTCAGTAACTAATAACAACAACAAATGGATAAAATAGAAAAAGGACTGAAAACATCTTCATTACAGACCTAGCCAGTGAATTCGCTGCGATTGCAGCAGCATCACTGAAGGCCCAATTGGACCTGTCGCCCATTGAGAGATCATCAAACATTTATAACTTTAGATAAGTTGGTGGTTTAAGTACAGGAGAGTCTGTCACCCGCAAAATTAAATTCTCCACACCCCACCAGCAATGTAATGATGAACAGGGTCTCAAAGCCCTGTACAGGGTGCAGGCAACAGTGTTATCACTAAAGTGATTTTTCAAATCACAATTGTTTCTAAAAGTCTTCATTTTTGCCTAAAAACAGAACCCTCCATTTCCCGACAGCTCCCCACTAGGGGTCATGCTCTTTCCCTGGAGCACACACATGTATGGGAACAAAGAGGAGCCAACCACGAGTTCTGCGGAGGGCCCCAATCTCTGCTTGGGGCCTGATCCCATGCCACAGATGCAGAAGCAGGAGAACGGCTGCCTAGAGCGTTCTCCTGCCAGCACAGCCAGAGACACAGCAACACACCAGTGCACAAAATGGGGTCTGCTCTGCTTAATACTCAGCATACCATGCGTTGTGTCAGCCAGACTTTCATCACTGTCACAAACATACATCCTTAATGTCACCCTGGGGCCTCCTTAGCTGTGGGTTGTCAGCTGGGATGCACAGCCTTCAGCCAAAGAACAAAGACAGGGCGGGTTGGGTTTTTTTCCTCCTCTCTCTCTCTCTTATTCAGAGAAGGGTTTTTTCCCCCCTTCTCTCCCCTCTCTCCTAAACCTGTCCAGCAGTTCCCATGCAAGGAGGGGCACCTCACCTGAGCCCATGTGTCTCTTGCCCTCCCAGATGTGTCCTTCCTTGGTCCCGTTTTAGGAAATGGAAGCTCCCAGACGATGTCAGAAGCACTCTGGACCAAAGGGCTGCAGTCCTGCAGCTTCCCCTGGACCAAGGAAGGAAGCCATCTCGCTGCTGTGTAGCAGGAGCCACGACACAGCAAGAATGTTGTCCACAACTTTTCCCAGTGTAAACCCATGTTTTTCCTGGGACATTTATAACTCAGCATGAAGTACCTGCTGTTCCCACTGGCTCAGAGCCTGAGGCCCATATTCACCCAAACTTCCATTGACGTCACTGGTATCTTACCTGACTCAGGACCTAGTGAAACCTTCCCTAGGAGCAGAGAGGTGCTGGTACCCATGGACCAGGTCACTGATGTCCTCTCCAGGTAGTTCAGCATCCAGGGTCAGAGCCTGGGTGGGAGAACTCTATCTTTTCTTTCTCTCTCTCAATTTGGACACGGATGCCTCTGTGATCTGTGCGTTATAGGCAGTACAGAAACAATTGAGGTTTCTGCTTTCAGCTCTTCTTTCACCTCATCAGACAAGCAAAAAGGAGCCGTCTGGACTGAACTTTTAGAGAAGACGTTTTGGCCTTAAGTCCGTTATGCTCTCGACACAGGTCATTAGTCAGGTGTCCATCCCACACCTTCCGAAAGCAAAAAGGCCCCACAAAGTGCACATTCAGATCCTTTCCCCAGAGCACAACAACAGTCTCTAGGCACAGGGACAGAAGAAAGAGAGAGAGAGTCGCAAGCTAAGTAAACCCCTACAGCTGTTTGTAGAAATCCCACTGATCCAGCACATCTGCTCTCAGACCAAATGAACAATGACTGGGAGCTGCCCAGACTCGCTGGACTCCCCTCAGCTACTCAGAGACCTGAAAGGCCCGCTGACTACTGCAGCTAGCAGCTCAGGGGGGGCAGCATTTCCTCCCCAGAGATGCCTCACACGGAAGCTGGGAGTAACAGATGCACACACCTCACAAACAAAGGCAGCAGAGATCTCAGGTTCTCTCTCTAGGGACTCCACTGTCCCTCAACAGATTTCAGGTTACTACTGAATATTAGGAGTTTTTTACTAGAGACAGGCCAGACCCTGAACCCTGGATCCAAACATCTTGAAACCCACCCCTACATCCACATCCAAATGTTGCAAATTACCTCTATCTTTATAATAGGGCTACACCACAATCCTGGCTTTGAAGAGCCCTGAACTCAGGGATGTCCAAAAACTGCATCTGGGTTCTGCTGCCTGATCACAGCTGGTTAGTCCACAAACGTTCGAAGTCTGTAGTGGGCAATAAGGGCTTACTCCTGCTTCCACTCCAGCCCCCACTGCTACGGAGGGCTTCTCTAACAAAGCTGCGTTTTTACCTTCCTAGCATGCATGAGCTATCCCCAGGGAGAACACAGGGACCACCAGGCACTTACTTGAGTTTAACCACAACTCCGAAGCTCAACCCCAGGCAGATACATAGGGCAGGCCCCGGTGAGCGTACAACTAAATAAAGCGCCTTGTCTCCGCTGTGTTTTCACTCCGGCTAGCTCATGTGTGACAGCTACCCCAAGGTACAAAACCCAAACAAGCTTTTTCAGCAGTGAAGGCAGGCCCTGAGCATTACAATGCAGCAATCTACAGCCACAGCCCGAATCATTAAAGAGCTGAATCCCGTAATCCTTATTCAGACACAGGTATGTTCTGGGCTGAGGCTATACAATGCCTTAGTATTCTGAAGAGGGCCGTGGTTTCTTGTGAGCATCTCAGCCATGCTCCACCAGCAACACAGCTCTCGAAGGGGTCTAACACACCAAGGCTACTTCGGCCCACGTGACTTTCAGACAGGCCTCTCCTTCGCGTTGAGCCCCAGAGCTAAGCAGTTCTGATGTTTCATTGGGGCTCTTTTAGAACGTCATTGAAAAGAACTGTGTGTTGTTTGAAAGTAAACATTCTCCTACAGAGCTGGTATCCCATACACCACAACTGCACCAGAAAGTGAAACGGGCCAGAACGCACCACATGGGCTTCAGAGCTGAATTTTCAAAAGACAGCCTGTATGCTGGGCCTGCAAAATATATACAGGTATGGACCAGATGGCTATTTGCATGGATCTGCAACAGCCCATCTCCTTATCATCACAGGTGTGGTCCATTAACACACCACCCCAGTGCCCTGCTCCCTGCACTCAGCTCCCACTGAACACAAAGCTGCAGGGAATACAGAAGACAGAGCTTTTTTCAGGGGCCAGCCCCAGACTGCGAACAAACTCCCCCAGGAGTGAAGAACCAACCCAAACCTCCCCACCTTCTGCTCCAAATGCAAGGCACATTTCTTCAACCTGCCTTCTCTAGTGCACATAGACAGCAATGTGTGTATATATAGATTATATATAAAAATTTAAAAAAAATTAAAAACATCCAAAACTAAACACCCCACTGCACACACTTCTTCCCCTGGGAAGAGGAGGAGAGAACATGTGATAGTAAGTCACAGTTGCTTAATGAACGACTGGGAAGACACTCATGTACTATGGTGATGAGCACAATGTAAGAACCCATGTAGAACAGAATAGAATGGTTTCAGGTCTTGGTCCCGATATTCAAAGCCCTCCAAGAGACTGGGCCCAGCTACTCCCGGGATGCTCCTGCATCTGGAACCACGACCTCTCCCTCAAAAGTTACATCCCATTGAGACAATGAAACTGTCGAGATCAGATCCAGATCCCAGCTTCGCAGCCCAGGCCATTTCAGGTTTGCCATGCTGGGTAAAGATCACGCTGTACTATCCATTGCTCACAGAGCACCACAGATGCACCCCTGCCCTGAAGAGCTGACCACCTACAGTCAGGACAAGGAAAGCAGAGCCAGCCTTGCCTTCTAAACCCTGACGAGCTTCCCCCCGAAACACTATTTCCAGGCCTTTCCGCCCTTCAGAACCGGCTTGTCCCTCTAGGCCCCCCCCGTCAGTCACTGCTGACTACTGCAGTTTCAATGACCTGGCTCACACCCTCCCAGTCCCTCATTGAAAATGCAGTTGGGCTAGTTTCAGTTTTAATTCCAGAGGAAACAGAGTTACCCTCATCAGGTACATTTCCTCTGTAGGTGCAGAGATGGCAATGGAAACAGTCTGGCTTTGCCTGTAGAGGCCTCGGTGTGCCGGTCAAAAGGCCACAGGGAAGCGTTTTACATGATGGCTGGGATGTCAGCCATGACCCAAAATCCATTTGAATGACAAAAAAAAGGAATAGCTGATACCAATGGCTGATCCACCACTCTGAGCCATCACCTCCCAAATGGCCTTTCATTCTCCCTAAAATAGACCATTTCCCTCTAATCCTGAAAAGTAAAGAGATACTTGGGATGTGCAGTTTAATAAGAAAAGGAACTTCTTGACTTGCAGATTTGCTCGTTAAAAAGGCCAGTCCCTTCCCTGCCCCACCCACCTCCTGTTTCTACACCCTGCCCTTGCTGCCTGTTTCCCCCTTCCTTCCCCCTCCCCTCCCCCCAGTCACAGGCTTGGAGACTTCCCCAATTTTACCACTACTGTCTTTGGTTTTTTGTTATTTCATCCTCTCCCGCCCCTGCTCCCACCCCCGCCCCAGTGTTCACCTCAACCTACTATCACATTTTAAAACTACAGCTGCCTTGTCCACACTAGGATTTCACTAATGCGTTTAGTAACCATGTGTTAGCTAAAAAGTGGTGAAAAAATACCTTGTTGCCTAGGGAAAACAAGGCCTAGGCGTTCGCTCTGAAGCAGCTACACACATGGCCGGTCACTATTCTACTGTATTCTATTCTATATAGGTTCTTATCCCATGCTCATTACCCCAGTATCTGAGCATCTTCCAGTAATGCAACTGTGACTAAATCTATCACATGTTATTTGTTCTCTCTGACTTCTCTAACCAGGGCAAATCCCTAATGCAAGCACAAAGTGGCAGGGAGTTGCACTGGCTATGTAGAAAAAAAAGTTTGTCAGTTTCCACAGCTGTCAGATGGTCACCTTTCACCAATGCTAAACACATACAAGCAACAGCACAAAGAGAAATAAAGCAACAAAGAGTCACTCTTTCCATCCTTCCCTTCCACGCCTGTCCCCCACTCCATTCAGACTTCAATGCTAGAACAATAACCACAGCAATAAACAAGTCAGTCATTTAGGAAGAAATGGAGTAACTGGGTGTACCTGCAGAAAAGCAAGTAAATGCATCCCCTACAGTTGGGCTCCGGGGAACCCTAGCTTCTTTCCGGTCTCCTACTGTCTGTGTTTCCATGGATCATTTTCTCTAATACACATTTACCAACCACAGAGATCCTAACTTTCAGCTCTTCCCTATGGGTATCCATCCAGCTGCCTTTCCCATCCACCTGGGACTGGTACAAGTTCCAGAGCTGCTTCAGAATTTATTTGTTTCTCAGACACCACCCAGCCCTTTCCCCATGATATCACCAAAGGAGTTTCTTCTCATTGGCCTTTGGGAGGATGAGGCAGAATAAACTGCAGTTTCTTTAACTGTGTCACTACCTGAAGGCTCTGTGTCTGGAACCTGCAGTGCAATGTCTCAACACTGAAGAATTCCCTCTCCCCTTCCTTCCCCAGGCCAGGGGTAACCTGATGACCTAGTAACCAGCGGAGATCTGCTTTAAAAAAAAAAAAAAAAGAAAAAGTATTTCCAGACAACCTGTCAAAAAACTAGGAATGTATCCAAAGGTACTTGAGCATGCAAACATAACTCAGGTCCCAGTGGGAAACCATTACAGCTGTTAAAAGCAACAGAGGGTCCTGTGGCACCTTTAAGACTATACTTCTGTACAATCTACACAGACAAGACAAACAAAGGAAGGATTGCTATCCCCATTTTACAGCTAGGAAATTGAGGTCCAGAGAGATTAAGTGATTTACCCAAGGTGGCATTCTGTCTCCCCCGAACCAGCCCACAAGCAGCCAGAGAATTCCCCTGCCATGGGCACTGCATTGTGCCATCACAGGCAGCCCTACACCGCCCCCATGCACACTCCAGCTGTTACAGGCAGGAAGTCTAGGGCAGAGACTTGAACACAGAGCTCCTATTGATGTACCCCAGGACCATCCTTCATCTCCGTGTAAAAACTCTTCCCAGAAATAAGTATGAACTTCCAAGACAGGACAATAAATACACTGAAAGGCAGTCAAGCTGTCTGACCCATTCCTAAAGCCTACAGCTAAAAGAACCCCAACATTCTACATCTGTGGCACACAATTCTGCACACAATCATTTGCATATGCAACCATCTGAAAAGGAGGCCAAACTGAGGTTCCTTTAAAAATATGGCCCTTTATGCCTAAATTCAGGGAACACTTAATATAATGTTGCCTACAGGTTACAGCAGCACACTGGGTTCTATCTCTGTCTGTGCCTCTGATTCATTGGGTTTCCTTAGGCAAGTCATTTAATCTCCCTGAGCCAAATTCATTGTGTTCCAGCTAATCCCCATCCCTCTGCCAATGTCCCACCCAGAACATGAGGGAAAATCCCAACTAAAAGTCTGGCTGAAACAAACAGTACTAATGTATGGGAGAGGGAGGGTTCCCAACACTAACCAGTGACCTAAATAATGATTAAATTTACCTACTGTGCGCTCATGGGCTTTCTAAACCCACAGCTGTGGATGTATGAAAATTCTCACAATAATCCCCCAAGGCAGGTATGTCCCTCTTTGACATGTTACTCATGCACCACTTGAAGCTCTTTTTGGAGCAGTTACATTCTTATTCATAAAAACAACAAGGAGTCTGGTGGCACCTTAAAGACTAACAGATTTATTTGGGCATAAGCTTTCGTGGGTAAAAACCTCACTTCTTAGTTTTTACCCACGAAAGCTTGTGCCCCAATAAATCTGTTAGTCTTTAAGGTGCCACCAGACTGCTTGTTGTTTTTGTAGATACAGACTAACACGGCTACCCCCTGATTCTTATTCATAGATTCCAAGGCCAGAAGGGACCATTGTGATCACCCAGTGAGTCTGACCTCCCGCACAACACAGGCCAGGAACTTCCCCAAAATAATTCCCACAGCAGAACTTTTAGATCTCGATTTTAAAATGGTGAGGGATGGAGCATCCACCAGGATTATTATTAGTGAACATAAATAAATCTTCTGCTGAGACTCCAGCACTGTTCCCTTTACAAGGGTCCCAACAGCAACACCTCCCCACCCCCAACGACCAGCCCCATCTCCAATCATCCACACCCCCAACCCATCTCCCAACACCAGCAACAATCCCCTAAGGAGATCGCCACATGACCCCAAAGAACAGCC